TAATCTGTAGTAATTACAATCTAAAACTGTAATTTGTCCAGTTTTTTAAATCAAGCGCCACATTACATTATAACATGTGATTTTTCTTTTTTCTGCGTATCAAAAGTTTCAAAAATATATTTTTTTATTTCTATTGGGATGGGCATAAAAATGCAAATATATGTATTTAAAAATTCAAAAATATATCGGCTTTAATATTCTCAAGCATGTATTTTAATGTCCATCCGCTATTCGCAATAAAATTTAAAATACAAATGTGTTTATTAATTGCAAAAGTTTTTTTTACATATTTATTATAGTTGCTGAAGAAGTCGAAACGTTCAGCGTGAATCTACTGTACATTCTGGATAATTTAAATCTACTACATCCTTCTCTCTGCACTGATAAAAAAAAGTTAACTTTACTCAAGAGGAAAAATCTTAAATTAAAAGTACTATTTTGAAGAAAATAATTATCTTAAGTCAAGAGAAAAAAAATTCTTGAGCCAAAAAATAATTTCTTAACTTAAAAATGTTTTTTTTTTTTTATTCAAGATAATTGTTTTCTTCAAAATGGTATTTTTGGTTTAAAATTTTTTTCCTTGACTCCGAAATTTAACTTTTTTTCTTTCTATAAATCATACTTTATACACAGAGAAAAAATGTTTTTAAATTAAGTATATAATTTTGAAGCTTAATCTTCTTGATTTGAGTAGAAAAATTCTTGAACTAAAAATTTTTCTTGATTTAAGGAACATTTACTTAATTCAAGACAATTACACTCTTCAAAATTATTTTCTTGGTTCATTAATTTTTCTCTCGAATCAAGTTAATTTTTTTCAGTGTATAAGTTTATACATTAAATAGTATAAAATTTTGCCTCCCAATTATCCATACGACGGAATTAATTAAGTAAAACCATTGATTCTTGACATTATTTACAATTATAATTAATGTATCATAAACAAAATACTGATTGGAAGGAGCCGCGGGTTTAAAAACACAATACAAAATGATAATAAATAACAGACGTATTGTATTATAAATTATAAAGTCTACTGTAATACCCGCATATTCGTTGTCCCACGCATCGCGCGGCGACCTCGATGTCAACGGTTAAGACGCAGCCAGATGTTACCACAAGTACGGGTTTCAAAAAAATAGACAAAAAAATCATCAGTTTGCTACAACAAATATATATACTGTCCTCACTAATACTATATATAGGAGTGACGCCCTAATGTTATGCGCGTAAGAATACAACATAAACACGATGACAGAGATACTTCAACTGTCGCAGTAACTTTATAGTTGTGGCAGTGAAACGGATCTTCAGTCCTGGATCTTTTACGCCGCCATAAATCATTCAGATCTTCCCCAAAAGTTTTTAATTTATCACTTATCATTTATCATCAACACTGGGTTAAATATTCAATAAATAGTTTAAATATTTCATATCAAATGAACCTTTTTAACTTGAGTCTAATCCAAGTTATTTTAATTTATAATACTCGATTTGAATAATTTAGAATTAAAAACATGAAAAATAGTTATATATTTTATAAAAAAAAAAAAAATTAAAGTAACCGATCTAAGTTAAATATTTCTTTGGAATTATTTTTTAAGCTGATTGCGACACTCTTAAATTATTTTATTGTGCGAAATAATACAAGGACCCAAAGTTTGAATCGTCGCTAGATTATTTTTGTCGATAAATTCATTTCTAGAGTATAATAGACGCATAATTGTAGATAGCTTATATTTATGAGGGTTCAACAATAAAATAATTATAGAGGGATAAATTTCGCGAGAAATACTATTCTGGGACTGTCTGGTCTTATAATATAGAGGCAAAACCGAGCAGAGGTCCTGGCACTTAGATTTCATCAATAAATACCTATAAAGGCTTATGCTAATTCACCGGCACAGGTACCACGTGCGTCTTGTTCAGGTGCAGCGGAAATATTTCACAGGATTAATATTATCTCGAGAGTTTCGGGTCCCTGTAACCAATACCAATAGACACAGGTTTATTTAAACTTTTTTCGGATGAGATCGGTTGCTGCTGTTACTTATACTGCTTATGCTTGTACTGCGTCGCTGGTTTCATTCCATTCGTTTGGGAATCGAATTAGTGCCGTCTGGTTCACGAAATACACCGCCGAAGATTTATTCAACGTAAAATAAATTCTTAAGACCCTGTCGGGCTGTTGCGTCATTCATTAAGACAAATCGATCGTTTATATATCGGCTCAACGTTATTTTTACTCCTTTTAATTTATTTTTATGATTAAGTACTTGAGCACCCTTTGATATTGTATCACTTGATTTTTAGTGAATGTAGACCGAAAAAACGATTACTTAACGTCGACAATTACGTTAATTTAACGAGATCAAGTAACATGATAAAATTTAAATGCCGCGCCGCAGAATTATTGTGGTTAATATAATATGTTATATATGTCCGCGTTATGTTATGTTATGGTATGTTACGGATATCATTCAACCAATTGAGCTCATTTTTGTCTGCTTGTTAATTTATTAATTTATTAATACGCAAGATAAACGCGGTGGCAATTAAACATTAATTAACATCCAGATATTTCATTATGCAACACATAATATAAAGCGTATTTACATTTCTTCTCTTTTTTTTTTTTAAAAAGAATTTCACGCGCGAATCTTGAGCAAATATTATTTCTATGCAAATATTATTATACTCTTTTTAAAGTTGAATGAAAAAATGAATGACTAATTGTTTCAATAAATCTTAACACGGGTTGACGAGTTTCAGTGAATTTATTTGAAAGTTCATGTTATAAAGTTGTATAATATTTACTGAAATAATATTGCGCGGTAATTGAATTAGTTGCGCGTGAATGGACACAAGATAAATTTTCTACCTAACCTGCTGTTAATAATAAAGAAGCTATGATTGACATTTAATGATAAAATAGATTGTTTTTTTTACAACATAAAATAATTTTGAATTTTTTTTCTGTCAATATATATAGAATTAAGAATGAATAATAAGACATTTTACATATTTTATAATTGGAATAAATAGTTTTAATTTCAGTAATTTTGTAATTATTGAATCATCTGTTTGATTAATTTTTTGAATCTTTTTTTTTATAAATTTTATTTTTATTAAATTTTTAATTGATATTTCTTAATCTTTTTTTAAAGAATTTTAATGATAAATTTGACCTTCCTTGAATTATATATTTGATCGATTTTTTGAAATCTATTTTTAATGATTTTTAACGATAAACTTTGTTATCATTTTATAAATTGTATCTTTGTTATTTTACAAAAACTTAAATGACATCTGCTAGCCGCTGGCTATGCTGTTGGTTTTTCGAAGTCGCTATTGATGTTTGAAATCATACACCATATTATCCTAAAAGTAACACCTCAAGTCGTATATAAGTCGTACATTGACTAGTAATTTAAAAAAAAAAATTTTTGTTTTTGAATTAAAAACTCAACTATTTTTTTATAATTTAAATTCACTTTTTAAAAATTATTATTGTTTTAAAATTTAAATAATAAAATGATTTTTGCCATTTTACTTCTATTATTTGTTGCAACAGATCCACAGATTCGGTAGAATCTGGCGCCAAGTTCCGTTCAAATCCGTTGTCAACGGAGCGCCAGACTACCGACTGTGTTTACTGTAAGCAGAACGGTATTTTGAGGTTGCAAAATTTTATTTAATTCTACGGTACTTTTTTTTCCTAAATTGTATATTATAACAGTAATTCATACTTTATTTTACTGTTATTAATTAATTATATTCACATATAACAATTAATCTACTTGAAATTAATAAATTTAATCAGCACAAACTATAGCAACGCAAAAATTTCGATCCTGACTTTTTTTCGATGGGCAAAGTGATCTACCACAGACTAAATAATTCAAGAATGCATAGTAATCCTTCATTAGATGGGAAACTACAGTTAAAAAAAGATATTTCACAGCTTGCATCTACACTGCACTAAGAAACTCATACAAACAAAATGTTCAAAAAATAAAGAATGTATTTGTGAAGAAGAAATTGTTTCTGAGAACGGGGTTGAGTGTCTTCAAGTTATAGATGATTTTTGTTACAATGACAATCAATGTGGCCCTAAATTTTCTATTTGTATGAATCAAAAATGTAAATGTATGCATTTACTTTCACCTGAATCTATTTTTAAATGCACCGTACATTAATGATTAAAATTGTGAACCGAAAAATTATTTTTAAAATCTTCAGTAAAATAAAATAATTGAAATTTTTCAATTTTTACTTTTTGATTTTAAAATTTTAATTAATTTTTTTTTCAATAAAAAATTTAGCCCCAAATTTTTTTATTTGTATGAATCAAAAACGTAAATGTATGCATTTATTTTCACCTGAACCTATTTTTAAATGCATCATACATCAATGATTAAAATTTTTAACCGAAAAATTATTTGTAAAATCTTCAGTAAAATAAAATAATAATTTAAAATTAAAAAATTTTTTCTTTTTGATCTTAAAATCTAAATTAATTTTTTTTAATAAAAAATAGAGGTTTTTTATTTTGTCAATAATTATAGCATTGCTCATTAATTTTTCGGTACTTTATTTATAAAAAATATTAACCTATAATTTTTCTAACAGTGATTACAAAAAATCTCGATAAAAAAATCTCTGTGCGTTTTTTTTTTTTTATATAAAAAATTCATTATTTGCATTCGTCTTAAAAGTAAATGATACTTTTTACGTGTAAGAAAATTTATCTTATAATAAGTTACAAAAGGTAACAGATCAAATTTGGACGGATAGTATTTAATCTATTTTCAGTCTTTGATCGTTACTGAACAAATAGATATAGTGTTAAAATTTACACTATCAACAATTTAAAAAAAAATTGTCACGTTTGCACTTTTAAACTTATCGTTTAACTTAATCTTTAAATACTTGAATAAAAATTAGTAAAAAAATTTGGGTTACAAGGTCACGTGTAAATTATTGTAAAAAAATCTCGTTTACGGCCACAGTAATTCAATATTGGGTGACTGTATCTGCTGGAAGAGTTTGTAAACCGATAGGACACATAGCCAACAGTAAAACTGAAAAAAAAAAAAAAATAAAATATATATTTTAGTATATTTCTTCATTAATATTTTGGTAATTGTTCTTATTACGAAGCTCAAATTATATTTACTTACGTTGTATCCCATCCAAAGCCAATTGATCATTGTCGGCAAAACAACTTGAAGCTACAAATAAATTCATTCAATGATTAATTTTGATGTATTATAAAATTAACTAGTATACGTTGCGCGCGCAAGCGCGCGTGTGAATGTTGGTATGGAATTATCTATATTTTCATGCTTATGATATGTTTGACCAATCACGTTACGAATAAAATGTCTTCATCAATGTATATTTTCATATTTTTCATCTAAATTATAAGAGTGGATTGTATATTAAAAATAAATAATACTAGTATACGTTGCGCGCGCAAGCGCGCGTGTGAATGTTGGTATGGAATTATCTATATTTTCATGCTTATGATATATTTGACCAATCACATTACGAATAAAATGTCTTCATCAATGTATATATTTTCATATTTTTCATCTAAATTATAAGAGTGGACTAGAATTGAATTTTGCGCGCGCAAGCGCGCGTCTTGACTATAGAGTTTGCATATGGGGCATTCCATGCCAAATCGACCACTTTTGACACCGACCCTTTTCGATTTTTCTGAAATTTTGGTATCTTTCTCTACCCTATTGAAAACAATTTTCAGAATTTTTTCAAATTTTTTTACCCAACCAAAAAAAAGTTACGAGTTATTACAAAAAAACAGCTTTTTTTTTGTTAAATAACCATAACTTTTTTGAAAATTGACTTTTTGGGATATTTTTTTTTTGAAATTTTTGTCTTTAAATGTACTTTAAAAAAAAAAAAATAAAAATAATAATTCGAATTCATATTCAATGTTCATGGAATGCCCCATATATTTTCATGCTTATGATATATTCGACCAATCACGTTACGAATAGTTTGATGCCACATCTCATTTCATCTCAATTTTATTATGGGATACTTACATAAATATAATATCCTCCTAATAACCATAGTCCAAATACTAATTGAAAGGCACAGAAAATAAACCAGGCAACAAGCCAAGGTAATAACCATCCTCTCACGCGGTGATTAATACCAATCACAATAAATCTTGCAAAAATAATCAACAAAACGAAGAAAGCGATGAAAAATGATCCTACTACTTGCAGGGCTGAAAGAAAATTTTTTAAATTATTATTTTTTATTACAACAATTTAATGTTTAAAGTAAGTTTTAAACGGTATTGAATTATAGTTTAATAATATTCAATTTTTGAGATTGAATTTAACAATTTTTTATATTTTTACAATTAAATTATATCTTAAAAAAATTTTTTTTTAAATTCTACAACTAAAAGTTGTTATAAGATATAAGTGCGAATTTTCAGACAATATTTTTTTTATAAAAATTTTAACAATTGTCAGATGTCTGCTAATTTTATAATAATTTCAATACAGGACATTAAATTTCTTTTTTGACACAATGTAGAAAAAAAAAATTAAAAAACCATAATTATTCGATTATTTACTCCAAAAATAATTGAAATTATACTTATGCATAATCATCCAATGTTCATTTAAAAAAAAATTATATGATACTAAAATCAGCAAACTTTTGACGTTTCTTTTAAGTTTTTTTATTTTATTAAATAAATTAATCTAAAAAATATTTTTAAAAAATTGCACTTATTTTTTTTTTCAAATTTGCTACATGTAGAATTTTTCTTTTGATTTTTTTTTTGTAATAATTTGTTCATTAAAAAAAAATTCTAATAATGTTTAGATGTCTGTTAATTTCATTACATTAAATTTAGCTGTCATTTGACAATTTTTTAATTTTCTGCAACAAACAAATTTGTTCTAAAATTAAATTTTTGAAAATTTCTACATGTCAATTTTTAAAAATTATTTTATTGACAATTTATTTGTCACAAAAATTTGAAAAATTATCAAATATCTGAAAAATTAATTTTAATATTGACACATTATTAATTTTTATAGAATATTTTTGTTACAGAAAATTTTATAATATAAAAAATTCACTGTATGTCTTAATTGATGACACCGAGTAATAATGTGTCATCGGTTAAAAAAAATAAAAATCACTTACAATATCTGGAATCGGCTTCAAAAAGCGGATTGTATAGTTGAGTAGAATCTCCTCCGCACATTTGATAAATAATTAGTGTTATCAATATAATACTCATTGCCTAAAAATAAACAAATAAAATAATTTAAAAATTAAAAAATAATGTTTACGTTTACTAAATTCTATTGCAATGATTAAAATATGCTTACCGCAGTGTAAAAAGCAATTGCTTTACTCCCCGCTTTAATATTATTCGTCCAAATAATTGGAGACCAACATGATTCCAAAATTGTCATTTTGTCGGAATTATTTTATTTAAACTAATTATAATTTTTAATAACAAACTTAAAAATGTGTCCCACCTTAACCGCACCCTAATAATACAACATAGTAATTCGATTACATACAACAATTTTACCAGCTTTTTTTACAAAAATGTTCCCAAGACTTTTAGTTCTTTCACTTAGTAACTATGTCACTAGATTAACTCACTTGCGCTGTTGTCGCGTAGCGCGCCAAATTTAAATATGATACTGAAATCAACAGAAATCTTACAATTTTTCAATTTTCATAATAAATTACTAAAAAAAAATTTTGTCAAAAATTGAAAACGTAGAAATTGGGAAAAAAAATTATAAACGTGAATTTTAAAATTTATAATTTTTCATAAAAATTTCAGAAATTTTTAAATTTTTGCTGATTTTAAAATCATTATTTAAATTGATATTTTATGAAACTAAAGAGATGAAGATATTAATAAATTATAACAATTAAATTTCTAGATATAATTGTCATTCAGGATAATAAAATACGTGATTTTTCAAATGAGAGTAAAAATAATTTTCATAAAAAATTTCAAAATAAAAAAAAAAAATTTCAATAAAAAAATATTCAAAAATTTTACTGAAAAATCTTAAAAATCTTTTTTAATTATTAAATTTTTTTTTATAAATTTGTTTTATTTATTTACTTAAAAAATCTTGTAACTATCTGCGACTTAAGTGTCATTTTAAAAATTAATTTTTGAGTCCTGATAATTTAAATAAGCAGAATAAAAAATAATTGAAAATTTATTCCCTAAAACCGAATTAATTGATCAAAAGCCCAAAGATCCTGGATCACAGCATCAATACGCCGAGTTCTGATACCAGTGGCCTAGATGACTCTGCAGTCAATTGGAGAACCAGAGGATCTACTCTCACAATATTTATAAACATATATATACGTATAACACAATGAAGAATATATTCGAATATACGTATATACATATTCTTGGCATCCAGAACCAGTTATCTTTCTCTCTCTGTTTCTTTCTCTTTTTCCCGTGGTCGTTGCAACAACGAGTTTGGTTTCATTGTGTCGTTGAACAGGGACCGGTGTGTTTTAAAACCGCGAAGCTCTTCTCTCGTCACTCGTTTATAACGTTGTTTAATCAACAAATTAAAAAGTTAAATAATTAATTTGCGCGCTCATTTTCACCCGAGTCCTTAAAATAGCTACCAACCACCTGTGTAGTAGAATATTACTCCGATATCAATACCGATAATAGTAACTACTATCATCTTCTTAAAAATAATTCCCAAAAGTAATTTAAAAACTCCAAAACAGTAAAAGTTTTTTTTAAACAGTGACACCGTGACTTTTATCATTTTAATCTCTGGTAGTTTGGAATGATGACATTACTCCCGTTTATTCTGCTCAGTGTCTTGTCTCTACAACTTTAACCAGTAGTACTCGACAACATAAAGTATCATAAAAATCAGTGTCGCCTGTCTACTTTATTTACTCAACTTAACTTAATATAATATTGTGATACACACTTACACTACTTATGCACGCGATGTGGATGCAACATACTTTGTTATATATTAATAAACTTTAATATTCATCGTACGAAGCCTGAATTAGCTAATGTAACCCCTTTTTTATATTTCTTCTTCTTCTTATTTGTATTTTAATAATTATTATCATTATTATTATTATTATTATTATTCTTCTTCTTATAAGTATTCTTATTCTTCAACTTGTTGATCGTGTCCGGTTAAAAAACCCGTACTGTCTGGCGTACAGCCTTAACTTTGGTTTGCTTAGCTTTTATTGCAATACACTACGTGGTTACATTTACACACGTCAGTTGACATCGAGATTGGGCCCAGGTAGAAACTCCATCCTCCAAAAATAGTCCCCGACGCAACAATTTAATAACCGTTAAGTACATTGAATTGAATGAGAGCTGAATACCACCGATTAGTATAATCAGTACAACAACACAACTGAACGTTATTATGTGAATTACTTTATTCAATAAAGCAGTTCAGTCAATACAAATGGAGTTTAGTGAGACAAATCCGAGACTTTTTATTTGGTAATTGTTAATTTATTTTTTATTAAATCCAAATAATTGTAAGCAAACATGTGGAATATTAATAATTAGTGATAAAAACAATTGAGATTGTTTTAAGTGATAGAGAGAAAAGAAAGGTACGCCAAGAAGGCGCGTTCCAATTGAATGGTAACCGCTGCATTCCCCACCTATATTATATACACGATATATATAACAGTCATGACTCGAACTCGGGTATCAAAAACGTGTGCGTGGTTGAAATAAGATGCGATAGTGCGTGATAGCATTACGGTATGATTACTGTCTTGACGCGATATATTTACTTTTTATTTTATACCGGCAATCTTATGTGTCTTTTCTATTGAAAAAAAATTGTTACTCATACTTATTTTATTTATTTACAGAGTACTAAAGTTATTAAAATGATCAAGATGATCAGAAGATATCATTTAACACGGATTTTATTCGACGTGTGACCAATTATTGCTGAAAGTAAGTTATTTAATAAAATTGCAGATTATAATAATACACAGAAAAAAAAATTCATTTGAATCAAGTGTCTAATTTTGAAGAACTTAATCTTCTTGATTTGAGTAGAAAAATTCTTGAACTAATGAATTATTTCTTAATTTAGGCACTGATAGAGGGATTTATTTATTAGTTAAAAATATTTTTTAATATTTAACAATTCATTTATTAGAGACCACTTTTTAATCCTTAACAAATATTTCTTAGTATTTAAAAAGATTTATTAACATTTAATAAATGAATATCAGATTTATTATATAAATACAAACAAATCATTTTAAATACTAAGAAATATTTGTTTAATACTAAAAAATGGTCTCTAATAAATGATTTGTTAACTATTAATAAATATTTTTTAATACAAACAAATTCTTCTATCAGTGGGGAAATTTTACTTGATTCAAGAATTTTTTGTCTTGATTCAAGTCAATTACCCTCTTCAAAATTATTTTTTTGATTCAAAAATTTTTCTCTCGAATCAAGTTAATTTTTTTTTTCAGTGTAGAAAAATTCTTGAGATGAAAATTTTTCTTGATTCAAAAATATTTCGTCTTGATTCAAGATAATGAAACTCTTTAAAATTATTATTCTTGGTTCAAGAATTGGTAATTATTTTTGGCTATAATTAGGTAAAAAATTAATATTTTCAAATTTTTTATTATTCTGCTTGTTTTTATGCCGTGTTTATGATAAATAATGTCGTGAAAGAAAGAATAAAAATTTAGATAACTTTTTTGCCTTCAAAAGTTAGAAAAAATTTTGACTCTCATGTTTTTGGATAAAATTTATGTTTTATATTTTTTTGATGTTTTTGACACATATTTTTTTGAAAAGTACATAAAAAAACGATCAATTAAAAAAAAAAATTGAATATTAGAATTTTCTAAAAAATTTATAAAATTGTGATAATCAACTTTTTTTTTTAATTGTTCATTTTTTTATGTATTTAAAAAAATGAATCAACAAAATCAAATAGAAATTGTAAATAATTACTCAAGAATTTTTCTCTTGATTCAAATCAATTTTTTTTTCAGTGTAATAATTCAATAATAGATTAATTACGACTTATGATAATCACACAAGTTTTGTTAGAATATCATTAGACAGATCTCTTCTTACTTAAAACAGCAATAACTGATTGACCGCAGTGATATGCTTCGCTTGATATATGTTGTCTCCCGCCAAGCTTATACACAACAAACTTGTGTTAGAATTTAACTATTTAGAGTTTGTAATGTACTAGTTGCTGTAAATGTAGATAAAATTCAAGCAATACATCACCGAATAATCTTCAGATTATTTAAAAGTCTGTCGTAAAGGATAGGAGCAATACTCGGAAAATGACTCAGAGTTATTGAGGTGTCTTTTAAGAGCGTAATATTGAGATTAATCTTGATTTAACATGAAAATAAAATGAATAGTTAAACTTTTGAGCTAGAGAGTAATGTAGTGTAGAATAAGAGGACTTAACTCTTAACTCTTTGGATCATACAGTCTTGTCTTGGTTAGTTACTTTCACCAAGGTGGCCCCACAGCTGCCCACAGCTGTGCTAATACATGACAGAACACCGCTGAACACTCTTATAGAGTTAGGAATGTACACAGCTAATATAGGTACACGTTTTACCGTGTAGGTTGACGTTGAGGAACGTCCCATCCGTAATTTCGTACTCACAACACACTACTGCTGCTCCTCATAGGACTACCAGTCACCGGTTAGCTACCAATTAAGTAATACTATTATTATTACTCCCAGTTTCTCTCTGTTCAGTTCAACGCGTCATTGTTCAGTGTAAATTTACCGTTTTTAAAAAAAATCCGCGTAATTATTGCTCTAGTTATGTTATAAGTTATAATAATTATCATCGGCAGCCTTGAAAGACCTTGCTCACATGTTCTTTAACATTGCCCGCGATGGTGTAATAAACAGAGTTAAAAAAATACTGATTTATATATAGACATTTAAATGTTAAGCGTTGTCCAATTGCCAGGTTGATTTTTATCAAGTTTAATTCATTTTTAATTACTGAACTGTTTTATAGTAATTTTTTTTATTATTCTCAGTTAAGACATTTATTTTATTTTATATTCTTTTAAATCACAGGGTTTGTTATTGTGTCTCATGTGGATACTACTTTGCTAAATTTCACCACATTTTTGGAGCCATTCCAAAGATTTTTCATTAATCACATCTATTATTAATCATACAAATTTATTTTTACAGTTCAGACGAATATTATTTTTTAAACCTCATTTTTGGGTGTTTAATTTTTTAATAAGTTTTTTATTTTGTTAATAAATAATACACTGATAGAAGGATTTCTTAGCATTTAAAAAGATTTCTTTGTTTTTAAGAAATCATTACTTAGTATTTAAAAAATATTTCTTAGTATTTAATAAATATTTCTTAAATACTAAGAAATATATACATTTCTTAAATATTAAGAAATAATTCTTAATTATTAAGAAATATTTTTTAAATACTAAGAAATATATACATCTTTTAAATATTAAGAAATAATTCTTAATTACTAAGAAATATTTTTTAAATACTAACACAGAAAAATAGTATATTGTGCAACTAGTGCGAAAAGTTGTCAATTGACAAAAGTGGGCAATTGACAACTTCGCACGAGTTGCACATACTATTTTTTTTTACGAATGCGGGGATATGGGGTCCAGGGGCGAAGCTCCGGCGGGGTCCGGGGCTGAGCCCCGGCGGGGGGTTGGGGGGGCCCTCCCCTCCCACCCTCAAGAAAAACTGAAAAGTTTGAACATTTTGAGAACGTAATATTTAAATTCTTCGAGTTTGTTGATGAGGCCGTATTTAAAATGTCGAAATTTAAATCCTTGTTGTTTTTTACTCCAACATCAATCGGTACTTCTCTTGCTGACTCATTACTAAAATCAATTTCTGGCTCTGGATCTTTTGAAGTAGACGGTCTAGAAGTGATAGTACTGGCGATTCGTTGACCAATTCTTTTTTTGTTGCCCACAGAATTCTCAATGTAGCCTTCCGCAACGGCACTCGATCTCCACCCTCCGTATCTTTTGATAGTCAAAAGATCGGCACCAGAATCAGCTAACAACGTAGTCGAAGTTCTTCGAAAGGAATGTCCGGTATATGTTTCTGGATTTGCTAACTTCAAGAACTTTGCTACTTTTTGTAGCATGCTACCAAAGGTATTGATGCCGATGTTTTGTGTCGTACATTGACCATTCCGATAACCAATGAAAAATCTTTTCGTTGCTAATTTCGTAGGACGTAATTTGGCATATTTTTTGTAAATGGTGTAAAATTCGTTCGTTACTACAAATGATCGAGGTCTGCCAGTTTTAGTATCCGGTATCTGTACCAAGAGCATTTCACCTTTATCTTCTATATGATCCACCAGTACGTCACATAATTCTTTCCGCCTACATGCACCTTGCACTCCAAAAATTAGAGCAACTTGTTATTAAAAAATTCCAATTAAAATTAATCCATGGATTAGAATTCAAATATTTAATTGATAATTTAATAACCTTTGTAGCCAAGAATTCGTTATCTGGAGCTTCACGTAGGAATTGGTTTACTTGTTCAGCACTTAATGTTTGGGCTTTCTTACTCTTAAAACCTTTACCATTCTGCTTTAAAAAAGCGATTAGTCTTGAGTAATCATGAATATTGAAGTTATGCTTGATATCAACCATGCTTCGCAACATTGAATATTTCGCCCATAAAGTTGACGGCATAAGAGTCTCGGAAAGCTCACTAAAATAAGTCAAAAACACCTCTTCAGAGAAGCTTGTAATCCGTTGTGCTGCTCGCCACTGCATAAATTGTTTGTATGCCGATTCATACTTGAGCCGTGATATTGCAGGAGTAAAATTGTTAATCACCTCATTTGCTCTTTTAAGAATTTCAGGAGGTAGCGATTCATCATTTGCTGTTGTTGTTGTTTTAAAAATATCAGGCGATATAGATTCATCATTATACTCATTATCACTTTCATCAATTTCCGGAATCCAGTCGGGATTATTACTCATCTTTCTTTATTTTACTTTTTTATTTAAATTTAATAAAACGCAAGTATAAATTATTTTTATGTAAATGCCAACCTCACTTCTTTGATATTGACACTTCGACTGTCTTTTTTTTTGTTATTTATTTTAATTTTTAAATTTTTCGTCAATTTGCGTGCGCCAATGAAAATTTGAGTGCGAGAAGTTTACTTGTCTTCTGATTTAAGAATTTTTCGTCTTGATTCAAGACAATGAAACTCTTCAAAATTATTTTCTTGGTTCAAGAATTTTCGTCTTGATTCAAGTTAAATTTTTTTTCAGTGAAGAAATGATTTCTTAAATACAAAGAAATCTTCTTAAATACTAAGAAATCCTTCTATCAGTGTAACACACAGAAAGAAAAATTTCTTGACTGAAGAATAAAATTCTTCTCTCAAGAAAATTTGTCGGGTTCCTGAAGGAAGACCGAAGCAGTTGTATTGGTAGAAGTAAAAATTTTTCTTTAAATTCTATTCTTGGTGGAAGTAATTTTTTCTTAATTCAAATTATCATAAATATTAGTTACAATAAATTTTTATATTTGATCAAGATTTTTAGATACTTTAAAGAGGCAGCGCTACCTACTTCAGCTGAGAAAAAAATTTTCTCACCTTGAGAAAATTTTTCTCTTGAATATTTGATACCCTTTTCATATTATTTTACCGTGCAATTATACATATTGAATGAAATAAAATGATTCAATATTATTTGATCTTCCCATTTGACATTTTAATCAATAAAAATACTAATGAAAATTTACTTCTATCTTTATATTTAATTTTTTGGAGCAAGAGAGAAATTTTCTCAAGACAAAAAAATTTACTTCTATCAAGAACTAAATTTTTTGTAACAAGAGGCTGAATTTTCTCAAATCAAGATTTTCTTGACTAAAATAAATTTTCTTGGATCAAGATATGTATTTTTTAAAGCAAGAGAATTAATTTTGTTGGAATAAGTGAAATTTCTTGTGTCAAAAAAAAATTTTTTTTTATTAAGAAAATAATTAATTTAAGAAGAAAAATATTTTCTTGGCTCAAGTGAATCTTTTTTTCTGTGCAGTAGTGTATTTAAAAGCGAGATGTATTTCAAGGTCTTGTAACAGAAAACATTTAAGTATTTTCTTTTTTTTTTTTAAATGGATTTATTGTGAGAGTTAAATACTGAGATTTTTGGGTGTTACTTTGCTTGGGATTAATGTTTAATTGTGTATTGTATACATACACATAAGTATGTTGTATATTGAGGATTATGATTGTATTATTGTGTTGAGTTGTATGTAATCTATCGCACAAAACTCAACACGTGGATTTTATCACTTAACAAATAAAAAAGTACAATATCCCGATGATTAACTGTTGAAATATTCGTCCGAGCGGGTATTGTGCTTACACAATTAAATTAACAGTGTAAAAAAAGGTTTTTTATTATAATAAAAAAGTATAAATACAATATGATTACAATAATGAGTTTATTAAGTGTGTAAATAGTTGAATTAATTGTATTAAATTTATATTGTTGTTTGTTTAGTGGATAAAAATGAGATGAGACGAATGTAAGCAAGTTAAATAGGATAAATGAAGTATAAGAATAATAATAGTGTAAGAAAAATTGTATTATTTCGCAATAATAACTTTTGCACAGTAGAAGAGTATTATAACGACGAATGACCAGTAAATTGCTGGCACGTGTTTCGGGTACCTCTGTGTGTTTATAAACCAGTGGGATTCCAGCAGATAAATGGTTGTCTCTTCCATTCGGCCAATTAAATTGCTCGTCCACTCGCGGTTCGCGGAGAATATTTATTTTTAGACATATAAACACACACAAATTCACCGAGCCTAAGAGTTTTAAAATCACTCATGTGATGATTATTATTTTTAAATTATTTGAATCACGGACAAATAATTTTTCATTTTTACCCATTTATTTAGACCCAGACGCTGAAATTTATATGTCTAATTGTGAGAATTCTTCACCGGCTCGGCTGAATTTATTTTTTTTGAAGAAGAAGATTAAATAAAATAAAATTTATTTTAATTTAAAGGTTGAAAGAAGGATGAAGAATGCCCCGCGTCGGCGGAGAAGGGGATGGTGGTGGCGAGAACGAGAGGCAGAGCGGTGGATTGGCGGGATGGTATACAGGTGGAGCGACTCGAACTATGACCGGAAATACTGGAAATGCATACGTCGTTTTAGGTGGTACCAAATATGCAATACGTCTCTCTCAGGTAATTTTTTTATTTTCATTGCATTTTTTCTGATAATTAGTAAATAGTAAATTTGTTTTTTTTTTTGTTACTTAAAACTGCGAAAATTAATAAGATCAACAAATCGTAAAATTAAGTTTTTAAGTTTATTTTTTAGTCAATTATTAGCTGTTAATATATAGTAATACATATTTATTGATGTTTAGAATTTATAAAAAAAAACTTTATTAAATTTTCGCGCTATTTTTATGAGTCATTACAATTGTTTTCATTTAATCTGATGTTTGTTTTTTGCGTGTGACGATAATCGCGATTACAGGTATGTATCTTTGATTAAAAATAAAAAAAAAAAGACTCAGCTTTAAATAGTACTTTATAATTTTGAGAAATAGTCTGTGTTGATGTAAAAAATACTCTAGATTTATAAATAAAAATTTATTTGGTGCAGTAACCAGACGAAAAATACTAGATGAATTTTAAATTTTATATTTACATTAATCAACTTGCTTTGAAGTTAGTTTTAATAACAATTTTATTATAGAATAATTATAAGTATCGTTCCATTTTTACGATATTTACATCAGCGTTGAGTGGGTTTGAAAATACTCTGAACTTTCTGAGCTCTAAATTTGTGTCATAGAAATAGGAATAAAAGGATTAGCTTCATAAAATTTTTTTTTTCAATTTTTGTCAAAGTTTCTGATGAAAAACTATTTTTGATAATTAAAATTAAATATTATCGTGTGACAAGTTAAGCTAAAATTGGAGCTAGAAACTATTTTCCAATTTATTTAACTTCAAGATTTTATAAAAAAAAAAAAAAGTTTACTTATATCAAGAAAATTAATCAAGATCAAAATAATCTTGGCGCCAGTAAATAATTTTTTTTTATTATTTTCATAAACATTTTCTGGAGCCAAGAAAATTTTTTTTTTCAAGAATTTTTTTACACAAAAAAAAAATAAAATTTCTTCTAACTCCAAAAAAATTTTAATCTTGCTTACAATTTTTTTGATTCAAATAAAATTTTTATCCGTGTAAGTAGATAAATAAAAAAACAATTATTACACTGAAGTTGACAGACAAAATTTTTTAAGAATTTTATAGCAAGGAAATTATAATGAAATAAATATAATAAAAAAATTTCATTTGTAAGAAACTGGAAAAACTATAAGTGTAATTTAAAAAATATATTTTTTAGTTTTAATTAAATAAATGAAAAAGTCAAAAATATCAGTTAATTTTAGTATCATCTATATTATTAAGAAAATAAGCAAACTTTTGTGGCCAGTGTATTTATATGATAACATGGGTTTTTATGGTTAAATTTGGTATCGTTGGAAAAGTCTTGACCTGGAGTTGTGCCTTTTTATGATTTCATATCATTCTCACCAATAGTCAATTTATGTTGATAAGTATTTAGGTTGCATTCAAAAATGCTCTATGTCTATACACATAATTAAAAAATGACCTTGTATCTCGTGAACTATTGACATCTTTAAAGATATAAGCTCATCCCGATGTTACACTCATCAAGGCCTTTCATTTGAGTACCCACATCAATTTTTCATATATTTATATCTTTAAAATATATATTATATATATGTATATATGAAAAATATATCAAAAATGCATGTGAGTACTCAAATGAAAGCTCTTGATGAGTGTAACATCGAGATGAGCTTATATCTTTAAAAACTTCAATAGTTAAAAAAAATACAGTACATTTATTTATATTTCACAAGTCACGGCAGTCACATAGTGACTGCAAGGTTGCTAGTAAATAATTAATAAAATATGTATATTTTCAGGAGAGAGTACCAACACCAGCCGTATCACCAATACCAACAGACAGCTCATCGGAGAGCTGTCAAAGAAAGTACTGTTGCCGAAAAAGTGACTCTCGTGAGCGTTTGACAGACACTAGTCTGGTGACGAGCGTTAAAATGCCGACGTCGGAGAAGATTTCAGGGCTGAGCGGTATCGGGGATTGCTGTTGCATCGGTCCACGTTCGCGGCTCCCTCTGCCGCGTGGACTCTCCGGAGTATCATCACCAAGTCCAAGTGTATGCTCATCAAGTGGTGAACGCGGTGGAGGTAACAACAGTGGAAATAACGCCGGCAATAGTAACAGTGCCAGTAACAGCGGTGGAGGAATTTCTAGTTTGGGCGGAAGCATCGGCAACGCTGCCGTCGATCGTGCACGAGGAGTAGTTAGAGTAGGAGGACAATCTTCGCCGCCTCCCACCAGCAGAACAACAACCCAGTCCAACCGACTACCGTCAAACTCAAATGCTATTAATAACTGCGGGGGGCTGCAGCTAATGGGAAGCCACGGCTCCCAGTTGCAATCATCCTCGTCATCATCATCATCGTCGTCGACAACTGCGGCCGCGAAACCAGCTAAGGCTTCCACCAATTCAACAAACGCCGTCCTATCCACTCGTGCTTTTGCTCCGACAATTAACTCTGTCTCTGTACCGCGACAAATCGCTCACTGGACCAAACATCACTCTTTTAAACTACAGGTACAATTTATTAATTTATTAACTAAAATTTTTTCTTACTAAAAATTTATTTATTATTTTTACTAAAATAAAAAAAAAAAAATTTTTTTTTTTAAATAATTTTGATAGACATTAAAGGATGACAACACTGAATGAACGTCATTGTTATTCAAAACAATTTGTCAGAGATTATTTTTTTTTATTTTTTTAAAGTCCGTCTAAAAATAAAAATTTTTGTTAAAAAGCATTTTAGTTAGTTGTAAAGCTTTTAAATCACATCTATAATTAATAGTAGTATAGACGCTGTTAAAAAATAAAAACTAGTGAGCCGACAATGCTTGTACGGTATCAACATATCCACGTAGCTTAAACATTAGCGTCGCTCTCTAAACTCGCGTCTGTATTTAAGCCGAGACCAAGTGATGGCCTATTTTTATCGTCTGTCGAGAGAGAAAAGAGTAAGAGCAAGAGGATGTGTTTTCACGACATAGCTTCTCTGTGCTGAAGAAATTAAGAAGTGTGCTGTAAGAAGTATCCCTGACTTTTGGATTACGGATGGGCTTACCAAATAGACCATAAATATCCAAAGTTAATTCATATAAATAAATTTTATTTATTTATTATTAATATCTTGCATATTTTATTAATCATACTGAAGCTGTCAATTAAAAAAAAATTTTTTTTACAATAAAAAAAAAAAATTTCACTTGTAATTTTTATTAATTTTCACACGTGCAATTTTTTAATTTTATTTTTTTTATAATAATGTAATTGCTATAAAACTTTAAAAAATTTTTTAATATCTGTCAATTTCAGTGTCATTTTATGAAAATTAAATAAGCCGACTTCTGAAAATTTCTGTAATTTATTTTATTGAAAAATTATTAAAAGAGGAAATTTCACATGTGAAAAATTTAACAAATTATATGTGCAATTTTTTAAAAATTATTTTTAGTTTTAATTCAATTAATAAAACAAAGTTAAAAAATTTCTTGAATTTCTGCTAATTTATTATTGTCATTTTTATTATTTATTTATTTTGAAATTTTTGTTTAATTTTCAGGAACAAAACATACCAGCGGTGGACCGCCTGCACAGATTTAGATGGAGTGGGGGTGGAGGAGGAAATGGCAAAAAATCCTCTTCCGGCCCCCGCAGCGAAAAAGCCGAGCGTCTTCGCGAATTGACGGAAAAAATAAAAAGTACCACCGCACCAATACCACCACCAAGAAAGCCGTCACGTCTTCACGTTTCTCCACCGCCTCCTCCACCGTCGTTACCCACCCAACAGGCTAATCACAACAATCATCATCACCATCATCATCATTATCATCAGTACCCGCAGGTTTGTTTTTAAATTTTAAATAATTAATTTTAAATAAATAAATTGATTAATTGTAAATGTTTCAGTCAATAACCAACAGATCAACGCCGCGAAGTTTTATTTACAATGAAGACCGCCCGGGACTTGAGACTGGTACCGCGGAGAGCAATAGAAGAAATAACACCCACGAAAGGACATTAGAAAGAAGTACAAGTGTCGATGGTGATGATTACCACGAGTATTCAACAGTTACAGTTAACCCAGTGACGGTCAGCGATGAAAAACCAAGCGGTTGGTCGTTAAGGACTTCGTGGTCAAAACCCTCACCAGGAAGTGTGATTAGACAAAAAAGTAGTGACAATAATGATCAAGTTAGACGGGTTTCCTCGGACTTGTACTACAGTGAGCCAAAACACTTGAGGCAGTACAGTGATTCGTTGGTGGTTGATAGTGCTAAGTGCCCAGATCATCTTTTTGACTTTGCTAATACTATTGCAACCTCACCAGCAGCAGCGTCTACGACAACAATAACAAATCCATCAGTATCTGGCGGCAGTGAGAGTGAGGCCAGGGACGCAGTGACCACATTAGAGCCTCGGACATCGCTCTTAACTTTCCATCGAACTGGTGTACCCTTTAGAAGCGCATCCTTCGGTCAAGTCGACTTTAATCAAGGTAATTTAATTATTAATCTTTTTCATTATTTTTATTATTTTTGGGAAAAATGAGATACAAAAAAAAATTGTTCTTGAATTAAGGATATAATTTTAAAGATGACACTGAATGAAAATTGAGTTAGCTGACGCATCTAAAAACTTTCAGAAATTTTTTTATTGAAAAATTATTACAAAAAAAAGAAAATAAAAAATTTTTACTTGTAAAAAATTTGAAAAACTATCAGTGCATTTTTTTAAAAATATTTTTTAGTTTTTATTTAATAAATAAAAAATAATTAAAAATGTCGGCTAACTTTAGTATTATTGACACTGAAGTTAGCAGACGTGTAAAAATTTTTGATTTTTTTTTTATTAATTAAATTACAACTAAAAATATATTTCTAAAAAATTGCACTTATAGTTTTTTAAGTTTTTTACATGTGAAATTTTTTTTTTTAATTTTTTAATTAAAATTTGTTCAATAAAAAATTTCTCGATTCAAAAATTTTTCGTCTTGATTAATTAAGACTAATTCATTAAAAATTAAAGACAATTACTCTTTTCAAAATTATTTTTTTTGGTTCAAAAATTTTTCTCTCGAATCAAGTTAATTTTTTTTTAGATTTATGTTGAGATTCATAGAGGTGGATCGTTAAACCTCATTGATTCATTGAATAAAAATATGAATATGAGAGTAGAAATTTAAATATAAATATCGGTTTAATTTTGTCTATATTATTAATAATTTATAGTTTATTTATTTATTTTGCCAGGTATTTATATAATATTGTATATTAAAATATTTGTCGCGCAATAGTCAGTAGCCATCGTGATGATAGATATGAAAATTCACCTCTCGACACTATCAAGTATAGACGCTTTCAAAATAACAACGTTGGCACATACGACGTGTTTGGGTGGAAACCTTGAAGCCGATGCGCCCGTCACTTCAATACATCTACTACTCACATATAGATATATAGATATAGTTATATATTATCACCACTTGCATTAAATACTTTGCCTTTTACACTAGTTAGCACACTGTCAGGAGTATCACAATCAGAAATTCTTTTATTGCCATTTTTATCTCAATTTGTGAGGGTTGAAACCGTTTTATTATTTACCAATCAAGTCTGATTTTTGTAAACTTGATTTTAGGGTAAAATCATATTTACAATCAAAACTTTATTTCTAATAATTTTTATTTTATATTACTAATAAATAATAATAAAATATCTTCTATTGGATTATCATTATTATTATTACTGTTATCTGGTACATTAATGTCATGAATATGTATATGAGCCATTGACATTATCAGATTAATTTCATTTCATTGAAATTTATTGTCGGTTTTAAATTCTATTTATTTTATTGTTAAGATGATTGCGATTCCTCAGATTTTTATCGATTTTTCTATTAGCATTATCGGTTATTATTTTTTTTTTAATTTTTAATTTTTGCAGTTACACCCCGCGTGTCAAGAATTAATCAGATTAAGCTTTAAAACTCTCGATAAATTAATTTTTAATGATTATTACATACAAATTTAATTATTTTTATATTCCCTACAAGATTTTTAGGTCAGAAAATTGAGAATATGTTAAGAATAAATAAATAATACATAAGATATGTATAAAAAATTTATTTTTACATGCTAAATTTTGTTCAATTTTCGTATATATTTTAATTGCAATTGAAATATATGGATAAAAATGTAAGAAATATTTTAAACTATATAAAAACATTTTGAAAATATTTTATAGTGCAAAATAAATTTTTTATATACTTTCATATATTTTAAATCTATTTCAATCATAGATAAAATTTATTGAAGATATATTCCTTATACTTTTTTATATTATTTGTTTATTTTTAATATATTTTTTTCTTATTTCTTATTAGTTTTCTCATTTCAACTATTTATTCATCATTTTTATTACCTTTATTATCGTAATTACTATCCATAATTATTGTTATCGATATTACATTATCATACAGAAAAAACCAATTTTTTGCGCCAAGACAATTTTCAGGAAGAGAAAAGTTATTTTGAATCATGAAGAAATTTTTTACGCTCAAGAAACTTAGACTTAATTCAAGAAATTATCAATCCTTTTTTTGAGCCAAGAAAATTTACTCTCTAGTCAAGAATTTTTTTTTTTTTCAGTGCATATTTGCCATTTATTGAAAATTTATTTTTACAAAATAACAAAAATCATAATAATAACAAATAATCATTATTAGGACACTGAAAAAAAATTAACTTGATTTAAGTAAATTTTTTTTTCTGTGTAATATTACTGTAAAAGTTAATTACATACAAGAGAGTCTGTTCTTAATTAGGTAATCGTCATAGAACCCAACCAATATCAAATGTAAATCGAGTCCAACTAAAGGATGTAAGAGCAAGTACATTGCCACGAAGAAGATCCGGAGCAACGAGTCCAGGTGCTGCGTCTCAAAACAGCCCAAATCCTGAAAGCCCAAGAGCTTCAATAGCGAGCGTTGATAGCGCTGTAGGTTCGACAGAGGGTCTAGGAGCGACTCAAACCCTCGGCGAGGAAGTGAGACCCAGGAGTGACGGGTCTGATAGTCTGGCAACATCCAGTGCCTTAACTAGTCCTGAACCTCCGGTGCTCGAGTGTCGAGAATCCTCGCCTATCAATACAGTGCAACCGGATCCTTGCGCTGATGATAAGGAGGATAAAGTCGAGACTAAAGAAACGGATGATAATGACTCTAAAGGTATTTTATTGTTTTATTTGTTTAGTTTTAGCTTGATAGAAAGTTTTTGTTTGATAAAAAGTGATTACTTATCAACAGACCGGTTAGAATTACATCAAGTAATAATCACTCCGCCGTCTGAAGAATCGCGACTGAGTCAGACAGTTAACGAGCCGGTTAAAGTGCCAAGTGAAAAGACCCCCGAGGTGTTAGCGCTCACGGGCAAAGTACGGAGATATCGCGGTGACACGAGTAAACGCAGAAAAGGCGTGTACATAACCCAGTGGCCAGAACCCTCGGAAAATGACAAAAACAAATTGTCTGCACAGAGCAGTGAAGAAAAAGACGAAAAAGACGATAACAGTAAAGAAGAAAAGGAAGAGAAGGATGATTTACCGGCTACCTTGAGTGATGTTTCAGACTGTGAAGGTCATGTGCCTCGAAGGTAACATTGTTTTCTCAAATATTTTAATTATAATTAAAGAATTCATTATTTTTATACACATGAGTGAGAGAATAAGAAAAAATTTTTTACGGGCATACTATTTTTGTTGTAAAATAGATTTCTGTAGTTAAATTTAGTAACATCAAAAAGCTCTTAAATTTCTATTTTTTCGGTAATTGTTAATTCATTATATAGTCTAAATAATTAAACGAATAAGGAAAATTTTTATTTTATCCGTGCAAAAAAAAATTATTCATTGTAAATTTCATATGAAATTCTGATTTTGAAACAAATTTTTTTTTTATGAATTTGATATAAAATTATTCTAATTTTCTTATAAAAATTTAGAAAAAAAAGCCGAATTTGATGAACTTTTTTTGTATGTCAAATGAAAATTTTATATAATCTATATTATAAAGAGAATAAAAAAAACTTGGTGTCCAGGTTAGTCATAATTTGTGTCTTTTCAAAGTTTCATATCATTCTCACCGATAGTCAATTTATGATGATAAATATTTAGACTGCATTCGAAAATGCTCTATCTCTAGATACATAATTATAAAATGACCTTGTATCTTGTGAACTATTGACATTTTTAGAGATATAAGCTCATCTTGGAGTTACACTCATCGAGACCTTTCATTTGAGTACCCACATCAATTTTTCATATATTTATATTTATTATATATATATATGTATGTATAAAAAAATATATCAAAATGCATGTGGGTACTCAAATGAAAGCTCTTGATGCGTGTAACATCAGGATGAGCTTATATCTTTAAAAACGTCAATCGTTAAGAAAGTACAGTTCAATTTAACAAAAGCCATTATATAATAAAGCAAAATTCTATATATTTATAGTTTACAAGTCACGGCAGTCACACAGTGACTGCAAGGTTGCTAGTTATATTTAATATTTTAATAGTCAAAATTTTTCTGTGTTCATTCAAATTTACTTACATATAAAAGTCTCGATTGAATATTGATACAAAATTATGTATTTTTACATAAAAATTTCGCCGCATTAGTTTTATTTGTAGAAAACATCAATATAATTTAAAATTTGCGTTTAGAGTATAAAAAAAATTCATGAAATTCAGCTCACTGTTTTTTAAAAAATGAGAATGCTTTTTCGTTAAAATTTATTACAAAGTAATATTTGTTATAAAATCTAAATTTCACAATAAAAAAAATTTGTTTAAAAAATTTTTATAGTTAAAATTTCTATTATACACTGAGAAAAAAAAAATTTTTCTCCAGAGAAAAATTTCTTGGTTCAAGAATCATTTAAAATCTATTTTAGTTTTTTGACAAAAAAATATCAATATCTATCTAATAAGTTCACTTGAATTATTAAACAAAAAATAATTCGATCAATTCTTGAGACAAAAAAATATATTCTTGAAAATTATCAAGAACATATTCTTGTGACAAGAAAATTTCCTCAAGATCAGTATTTTTTTTCTATATTTATAATTAACATTTAAAAATTTCTGATTAGATATAGCAAAAGACCACTTCGGGGACCATACGGGCAAATGTTAGAAGCAGAAATGGCTAAGCCACGTATAGCCGATTCAGCACTGTCTGATAGTCTTGGACCAAAGAGAAAAGTATCTGCAAATTCGTCATACAGTGCAGGAAGTAATAGCAACTCGGAACCACCGACACCGTGCCACCACAGAGCAACTTCCAGTCCGAGTAAGCTAGAAGGTCTACCGGGACCCAGTCCAGAATTACTGGCCCAGCTTCTTCGCGGGTCGTCTGAGCACCCCGCACGGGTGCTTACTACTCACAGAAACGTAAGACTAGCTTTTTATATATCTATATCTATAAAAATTTCAGATAGTTGATAGTTAGTAAAGTTATTTATAAAACGTTAAACATTCCGGTGGAATGTTGAGTAGTTTATAAACTACTGAATAAGATGCTAGAAAATGAAAGAATAAAAAAAAAAAACGTTCTAGTATATTAAACATAAAATAATTTATGCGGTAAAATAAAAACAATAATAAAATTTATTTATATATTTTTTATGATTTCTATTCCGTGTAAATATGACATAAGAATCTTTAGAATCTTGAGAATATAGATAGATATATTTATATATATAAACATCTGTCTATTAATATCCGGGTGATACATGTCAGAAATTGTTTTGCGGTTTATGATTGTAAATGTGAATCGTAAACAGATTTGGATTTTACTGGATATAAGTTTTAAATGCAACAATACAGATCAATGATTTAAGTTAAAAAATAACCACATTTAAGTAGAAAAATTTTTATTTTAAAACCAAATTACGCATGACCCTTGATTTTATTTGTAATGAGCGAATCCGGCTAAGAAAAGCGGTTTTTAAGCGTACGCATATGCACTGATAGTGACGTACTCATATAAATATAAATATAAATATAAATATAAATATAATGATTTAGTAAACAAAATAATAACTGAGACAAAGAAAAAAATAAGTCATTTTTCGCGAAAATAACAAGCCACGGGACATGAATGAATTGATCTTTACTCTAGACTAGCCGCTAGCACACATTGACGTCAGCAGATGAGTATTCAAACGTAACAACACATGAATGAAGAAATATCTTATAATAATTCAAATGCTCTCTATTTAACTTGGTTACTCCTTTTACGGTGCACTAAACGGACACCGGATTACTCCTAATGCTAAAACGTGCTAACCGGAAATGTTATTTAGCGTCATATCCGTATTGGCTCAGGTGAGGATTTCCGGTGTCGCCCACAGGCTACTAGGCTAGGAATATAAACATTATATTTTTATTATATTACAATCTAAGCTTGCTCTATGTTTATTATTCTTTCTTGTAGACATACTGAATACAAGATTTTATAATTATAGTATAGTATTTTGATGAGTCTCACCTAGATTCACCACGTGATTTTGATTCCGATTTAAGAAAATAATACTGTTGATAATCCAGTCACATTTTCGACTCATCCCATAATTATTGATTTTAATACTATGCTGATAAGCATTAATAGAATTATGTTAAAATACAATCAATTTATCTTTGCAATATTGGGTTGATATTTTAATTTTTAGCTTCAAAATTTGTATTTTAAAAAACTGCTTTTTTCTGAAGTTTTTTAGACGTAAATATTTTTGTTAACAATTTAAGGGCTGATTTAAAAATATGTAGACTACCAGTTGTGAAGAAATGAATTTTTTTTTATATTTATTTAATACATTCTTTTAAAAAGAAAATGATTTTTTACTAAAGCACAAGTGAAGAAATAAAATAAAAATCATGATCATTTTTATCTTAAAAACTTAGTAAATATATTATGTAAATAAATTTTTTTAAAATTATTTATTCCTATATTTTGGTGAACATCAAAAATGACTCGTTTCATAACGCTGTTATGAAATTTGTGCGAAATTCCTTAGTTACATTTAAATTCTATTATGCAAATATTTATATGTAATGATTATCACAAAGTTAAGAAGTAAATCATGTAACATTTATTTATCTGTTATATATTTAACATTCCACAAAAATAATAATAGTAATAATAATAATAATAATAACGATATTATGAATAATTAGAGAAAAAAACGTGTATTAGGCTGGATCGCCAACATTTATATATAAAATAATAATAATAATAATAAGGCAGTTTATTGAATTGGTTTTGGTACACTGTTTCCTTACAAAAAAAAAAAAAACAATAGATAATAAGAGATGAATCGTAATAATATAATAATAATAATAATAATAATAACAAGATAATAATAATAATAATAATAATAATAATACACATAAGTAATTCAATAAACTAAGAAAGCAGTATCATAATTAACCCTTATGATATACGCACAATCGGTTAAAGGATAATAATTGCACGTGGGGATATGTACTCGTGAATTCTATGCGTTCACGTGTAGCACGTGCTACACTGTGACGTAAACCCACCAAACTAATGAACAAATTCGCTTAAAGTAATATGATATTAATCATATCATTCGGTTCGTCTACGTGGATCAGTACAGGTTGATAGTAACTCCTGCTTATGAAATTTTTTTACCATTTCTTCATTTTCATAGATATTAAAGTTTGTGTCTTCAAGTGTTTGATTCAATATTTCAATTTATCTACCGATAAATAAAAAATTTAATTATTCATTTTTTGATAAATAAACTATTAATTCACTGTTTAAAAAAGTCAATTTTATCAAATGCCACTACATATAATGAACATCTTCAAACGAATAATGACATCCGTACTTCCGTTAGATATTACTATTAAAAGTTCACTCGATAATCGCCGAAATATTAATTACGATGTAATACAAGATACTGAACCAATTATTCGTCTAACTTTGGTAAATTTTTATTGTTATCAAGTGATTAATGTGTGTGACTACTCGTTAACCGATTAATTACTAGATAATTATCGGTTTAATCAAGTTTTTTTTTTTTATAAAATTTTTTGCATAAGTCTACATTTTTTTTTTCAGGATACGAGAACGCATGTCGTGGTGGAGCTTTATGATACTGAAAAATCATATGTAGAGGCGTTGCAAATACTAGTCAATGTAAGTGAATAACTTTTTATTTATTTAATTCATATTTTTTAACTTCCTGCTAAGAAAATTTAAAATTTAAAATTTAACATAAAAAACTACGTCGATCGCTACCGGGCCAGTTAAAAGTGGTTTATCTGTTCGTGAGTTATCGTATAAAAAAATGATTTTTTCGACTTGCTCCGAAATTTTTTGTCTGATCAATTTATGTTTAAAAGTAAATCATATGATTTGAAAAACTGCATCGACTTCTACTAATCGTATAAAAATTGGTTTATATTCATTCAAAAGTAATTGCAGTTTGAAAATTTTAAGAATAATGTTTTATTAAACTTCTATTAGACTTTTGAGCTCGGAGAGCTCAAATTAATACACAAATTATATTATTGAGCTCGAAGATGTTATAAGTACAATTTTAAGCGCTTAAGTATGGAATTAGCGGGAAATTGGGTAAATATTTACAAATGGGGTCAACGATTTAAATTTTCATTTTTTTGAACGATATTTCTATTTGATTTTATTGATATATTTTTTTTAAATACATAAAAAAAAATTTGATTATCAAAATTTTAACAAATTTATAATTTTTTTAGAAAATTGAGCTATTCAATTTTTGTTTTTTAAATTGTTTTTTAAATTTTATCTAAAAATATGGGAGCCAAAATTTTTTCCAACTTTCAAAGATGATTTTTTAATTGAAATACTAATTTTTTATATATCACCACTATAAATCCGCCGAAAAAAAAAAGAAGTTAAAAAAAAACTTATGATGATCCATCAATTGATCTATTATTTATGGTTAAAAATAGGTTTGACCCCAATTGTAAATAATTATCAGAAGTTACAGAAATAGCCTTTAGGGTCAACCATTTTCTTAATTTTTATTAATATTTTTCTAATAATTTCAGAAATATTTGCAAACTCTAAAAAGTTCGGAAAATTCTGGACTTGTAGACTCAGCAACCGTGGATGAAATATTTTATCAGGTAATTTATTTAATTTATTAAATTATTCATTAAAAAATTCTCACAATTTAATAAATAATATTATTTAAAGGTACCAGCTATTCTTAGTCATCATGAAGTTTTTTTACGACAACTTAAAAAAAGATTAGATACTTGGGAAGTTAGTCAAACAATTGGTGACGTTTTTCTTGATGTGGTAAATATATTTTTTTTTCATAATTAATTACGAAATTAAAAAAAAAATAGTTTTAAATAATTTTATTTTGATTTTTTTTAATAATCTAAAAAATTTTAAATTCTATTTTTAATAATATTATAACATGTTTTCAGTTTACAAAGCCCGCGGTCTTAGAAACATACACTCTGTTTCTCGACAATTGGAAAGCCGCTAAGAAAGCCATCAAAGCGACTTGTCAATCGAAACCAGCATTTGCAAGATTCCTCGAGACAATGGAGCGCGAACACAAAGGAAAACTCGGGCTGGATCAATTACTAATAAAGCCAGTCCAAAAAATTCCTAGGTACGAATTACTTATCCAGAGACTATTGAAGCACACCGACACATCCCATCCAGATTATGATCTGCTAATTGCCGCTCAGAAGGAGGTACACGAACTTGTTGTCAAGATTAATTGCACTGAACGAGAGTCTCTTGAGTGGGAACAACAACAGACCACCTTGAGGGAAGTCCAGTCATTAGTTGAAGGTCTAGCCGGAATTGTTACCAATGATAGGTATTTTTCTAGTTTTATTATTGATTATCTGATTAATTATTACATTATTAGATTAATGATAACCCAAATATTATTACTAAATATTCCATATTTACGATAGAATAATAATAATTATTATTATTATTATTATTATTGTTATTGTTATTATTATTATTATTATTAATATTATAGAGCGTTCATTCGTCATGACTTAGTCACCATAGCATCCAACCAAGGTACCCGAAAAGAAAGAGCGCTTTTTTTATTTTCTGATCTTTTGGTTATCACTAGTATTAAGCGAAGAAGTGGGACCATAAGAAAGCCATTAACGTACGTAACTTTTTTATTATAATTAATTTAAATTTTTTGGTAGCGCAAAAAAAAACTTAAGTTTTCGATGAAAATATATTTATTTTGCATTTTTTAAAAGTCTGCTCCAAAAATCAGCTTGATAAAAAAATTTTTTTATAGAATATTTGAAAGATTTTAAAAAGAAATTATAACCAAGTTGAATAAAAACTAAAATATTTTTAGAATTGATTATTAATATGAATAATGTATTTCATATTTTTTTATCTAATTGACTTACTGAATAATAAAAATAACGTACAAGATATTAATAAAAGTAAGGAAAATAATTATTACTACTGTATTTTTAATTTAAAAAATATTTCGCGTTAAAGAAACTCCCGGGAATCATAAGGGCGTTTAAAACTTTTTTTTTGCATTTCTGTACATTTTAGACGAAAATTCGTCGATTCCCGAAAGAAAAAATTTTTTTATACGTCCTTATGGCTTTTCACCGATATTTTTTGTTGGTATACCCCTTTATGGCAACTAAAATGCGATATAATCATTTGAAAAAAATTTATCGAAAGTCTTAAACCCTAATCTAACTCGTAACAATGAAAATTCTAAAATTTAAGAAAATAATTAACTAATCAACTTTTTGGTCTGAAAACCTTGTAGAAGATGCGAAAACAATTCGATTGGTATATAATAATAATCATTAAAAAAAAATTTATCGAGAATTTTAAAGCTTAGCATTTCCTGGCCTCACCCGGCGCTTAAACGCGAGGATGTAAATTTAAAAATTCTAAATTTTCTAAAAAATAATTTAATTAACTAATTTAACTGTTTGGCCTTAGAACATTTTAGGTATTTGTTGCCGATATACGCCCTCATGGCATCTGAAACGTAATTTATCATGCATTTTTGAAAGTTAAAAAAATTTTTTGAAACTTCTAGAAATAAACATTTTCTAAATTCACATTAAAAATAATGAAAGAAAAATTAAGTGCAAAAACAACTTTTTTAAGATTTTAAACCTTTTTAAATTCTGAGCAATCAAAAAAAAAAAATTTTCATCCAGCTAATTATCAGAAAGAACTGTTAAAAGATATAACAATTTAAGATATTTTTGTAGGAAACTCAAAAAAAAAAAAAATTCTATTTTTTTTCTACAAATATAAGCCATTAATTTTAAACAATATATTAATTAATAAAAATTTAATTATTTAGAAGCTCATGTCCAAACAGTTTGGTTGGACTTCTTGAAGCTAACAAGTACAAGCTACTTATGAGAATTTCTCTAGACGATTTAGAAGTAATGAAAGGTAATAAAAAAAGAAGCATAATTATTAATCATAAATCATATTAAAAAAAACATATCTAACAAATTAAAAAAAATTTCAGCCAAAGACGAAAATTTAAGAAAAATGGCTCGTGAAGTTGACCATTTACGTGAAGACTGCGCAACACTGAGTCAACTGCAAGAACTAACAGCAACATTACACGGCGCAAAACATCAATTAGAAGACATAATAAAAGAAATGCTATCTCAAACCCAGCGTCAATTAGCAGATCGCAATACCGCGCACTCGCAATTAGCTTGTTTGGAATTCACGTTGAACACTCAGTCGGGAATGGAGAATATCTCGATAATCTTCACCAAGCCAGACAAGCGCGCCAGCTGGGAAGAGAGCTTCAATGAAGCGAAGCAGAAGTTAGCGCTGTCTTCAGACAAGAGGCCGTGTCCAGAATTTGTTGGACCTCTGCCGATTCGCAAGACCCGGGCTGGATTGCAGTTTACATGCGCGGCGCCGACAATTAACAACGGCCAAGGTTCCTCTGACGTTTGGGTATGCAACAGTGATGGATACGTAGGACAGGTGTGTGTGCTGAGCTTGAGTCCAGAGCCTCCGCAAGTAACTTCCTGCAATGGTGTCTGCAACGCGAGGATTCTTTGCGTTGCTGGTATTCCGGCAAAATTGCCTGGCTCCATATCGAGCACCCTCAAGTCAACTAATAATAATAATAATAATAATAATAATAATAATAATAATAATAATAATAATAATAATAATAATAATAATAATAATAATAATAATAATAATAATAACAATAGTAATAATAATAATAATAATAGTATGGATGACAATTCATTAACGGGAAGCAAAAGTGGGATAAGTATTTCTATACAAGACACCGATGCGAGCGGAAGAAACATTCAACTAGACAGCAGCTCAAGTTCTGATGACTCAGACTCAGACGAAATAACTCGCGCTATTGATACCGCCGCGGGATCAATGTACAGCGACTTATCTAGCATCGATGGTGCTGATGAAGACACTAATCAGCCGACGATGTGGCTGGGTACTGAAGACGGCTGTATTCATGTCTACAATTGCAATGACAATATTAGAATAAAGAAGAATAAAATTAAAATTCAGCACGGCAGCAGCGTTCACTCGATCATCTATTTGGACAACAAGGTATTTGTCGCGCTGTCTAACGGAGATATTGTTGTCTACAGCCGGGATCAAAATGGCTGGAACACCTTGGATCCTATGACCGTGTCCGTCGGCACTACTGAGTACCCGGTCACCAAAATGGTCCCTGTGTCGGTGAACAACAAACTCTGGTGCAGTTGTCATAATACTGTTAAGATAATAAATATTGTGACATTGGAAATAGAACATGCCTTCAATGTCGGGGGCGATAATGCACGTCCGGTGTCTTGTATCGCTTCGTCAGGGTCTCTTGGTGTGTGGATTTCACTTCATAATAGTGCTGTACTTAAATTGTATCATGCTACTTCTTATGAGTGCTTGTCGGATGTCAATATTGCGCCTGCTGTTACCAAAATGCTTGCCAGTAAGTATTAAATCTTTGTATTTTTTTTAATTTTTTATATGTTTTTAAGGTACTACCAAAAATACAAGTGTCAAATTTTAAATACTAAGTCTTCTTGGGTTTATGTAGTAGATTTAATTATGTTATGTTGCAGTGAAGAAAATGTAACAGAGATTATTTTTTAATTTTGAAATTACTGGGCTGAAAATTTTATTTTTTTTTTTTTTTAAATCGATTATAAAAAAAAATGTTTTATAAAAAATTTGAGCTTATAATCTATATTATTAAGAGAATGAAAAAATTTTGTAGCCAGAGTATTTATATGACAAAAGGGGTTTATATGACAAAATGATCTATCTCTAGATACATAATTAAGAAATGACCTTGTATCTTGTGAACTATTGACATTTTTAAAGATATAAGCTCATTCCGATATTACACTCATCGAGACCTTTCATTTGAGTACCCACATCAGTTTTTCATATATATATATATATATGAAAAATATATCAAAAATTCATGTGGGTACTCAAATGAAAGCTCTTGATGATTGTAACATCGGGATGGGCTTATATCTTTAAAAAAAGTCAATGGTTAAAAAAGTACAGTACAATTTAACAGATATCTTGTATACTGTTGACATTTTTCAAGATATAAGCTCGTCCCGATGTTACACATATCAAGACCTTTCATTAGAATACCCACATCAGTTTTTCATATATTTATATATATTATATATATGTATATATGAAAAATATATCAAAAATGCATGTGGGTACTCAAATGAAAGCTCTTGATGATTTTAACATCGGGATGAGCTTATATCTTTAAAAAAGTCAATAGTTAAAAAAGTACAGTGCAATTTAATAGATATCTTGTATACTGTTGATATTTTTAAAGATATAAGCTCATCCCGATGTTACACGTATGAAGACCTTTCATTAGAGTACTCACATTAATTTTTCATACATTTATATAGATTATACTAGCTGTTACTCGCCCGCTCCGCTGAGCGCTTTATAGAATTGCATTTTTAGATCTAGACTTTAAATTTAATTAGAGTATTGTTTTGACCTGCACAGATTTCAAATTCTGTCAAATTGGCATGCACCTTTTATCCATGTAATTATTCTAGCTAATATTCATTATAATGATAGTTCTATAAACGAGGGTGCTATCTTAAGTAAATAGAAGATAATGTAAGCTGAAATTTATTTTAACGAAAATATTAAATTTGTTGCAGGTTGCGATGACATAATAAGACAGCATAAAGCAGCCTGTTTACGAGTTACCGCGCTTCTGGCGTGCAACGATCTCTTATGGATAGGAACTAGTGCCGGTGTGCTTTTGACAGTACCCATTCCACATATCAAAGCATCGACACAAAGATTACCTCAAGCTCCATCAGTTACCGGTAAATAGTGTATATTATTTTTATTCCTTTAATTTGGGGTATTATAATTAAATAACTGATGAAAAATATCGGGAAATATAAAATAAAATTTTAGCATTACTTATTTATTATTCGAATTTTTTTTCGGATTATAAAATAGTTCATTACACTTTATGTTTCTTTTTAAAATTAGAAATTGAGATTTAAAATGGTTAGTATTATAAAATATTTGATTTAATAAAAAAATATCAACCTTCACGTTGCTAACAAAATATTTAAGTTTCAGTGACAAACATTTCGTAGAATAGTTGGTTTAATTTTGTAACAAACCAAGCATGAGAAATATGCCGTTAGATATTTATACTTGTGACCTCACAATGTTAGAAATTTTTTTTTATTTTCAAAACAATTTAACTTTACAAAACAAACAAAACTTTACAAACAAGACTTAAAAAAATTATGAATGAGATATATTGAGTATACTACTTATTAAAAAAAAAAAATTTTATAATCTATAAGTATCATTAAGAGAATAAGAAAAATTTTGTATACAGGATAGTCATATGATAAAATCGTTTTTTTTAGTGAAATAATTTACTATGATAAGTATTTGCACTAAATTCGAAAATCCTTTATCTCTAGATACATAATTAAGAAATGACCTTGTATCTTGTGAAATATTGAAATGTTTAACGATATAAGCTCATCTCGATGTTACACTCATCAAGACCTTTCATTTGAGTACCCACATAAATTTTTCATATATTTTATATATTATATATATGTATATATGAAAAATATATAAAAATGCATGTGGGTACTCAAATGAAAGCTCTTGATGAGTGTAACATCGGGATGAGCTTATTTCTTTAAAAACGTCAATAGTTAAGAAAGTACAGTGCAATTTAACAAATAAATCTCGTGAACTATTGTCATTTTTAAAGATATAAGCCCACCCTGATATTGCACTCATTGAGACCTTTCATTTGAGTACCCACATCAATTTTTTATATATTTTATATATTATATATATGTATATATGAAAAATATATAAAAATGCATGTTGGTACTCAAATGAAAGCTTTTGATGAGTGTAACGTCGGGATGAGCTTATTTCTTTAAAAATGTCAATATTTAAGAAAGTAGATTGTAATTCAACAAAAGTCATTATTTAATAAAGCAAAATTTTATTTACTTATAAAATCACAAGTCACGGTAGTCACATAGTGACTGCGAGGTTGCTAGTTTTATATCAAGAATTATAGTTTAAATCATCAATTTTTTTTCTCCAATTTATAATTTATTAATTTTTTTTAATTTTTTAATTTTTCAAGAAATGCAATATTAAAATTTTTTTAATAATTAATTGATAAAAAAAGTTCATTTGAAATTATGTAATTATTAATTTTTTAAATAATATCTTAGTTAAATATCTTAAATTATAAAATAAATAAAAAATATTTAAATTAATAAAAAATTTTAATAAATTTCCAGGAATACCACACGGTCATACAGGACACGTGCGTTTTCTTACATGTGTAGAAGCACCGTCACCAACAAAAGTGGACACACACTCTAAAATAAATCGTTATTCATTGAAAATTGGTAAAACACCACAAACCAGCAGCATAATCCGTACAAAGCTGCTGGTTATTTCGGGCGGTGATGGCTACGAAGACTTCCGCGGGCCTCAGGCTTCTGCAGAGCTTCAAGCAGGTCGTGAAGACTCAACGAATCATCTTTTGCTGTGGAAAGTTTGATACCTTCACCAAAAGCAGCTCAATGACGAGCTTTGGAATTTGAATTTAAAAATTTTCATCATCAGTTGACGCGACTGCCGTATCGCTTAACTGGAAAAGTTTAAGCTCGATCGCCGAGTTAAGGATCGAGTAAAGAAGCGCTAACAATTATTTAAATCATTGCACGGCTGTGTATTTTGAATAAAGCCGAAGAATGTTAACGCATACAGTGTAATCACATAAATAAAATTATAAATTATTTACAGTTTAATTACTGTAATTAAACACAAATTAGTCAGCTGATTTAATCAGCTGCCAGGAAAACTACTTGTTTTTTTAAATTAAATTAACCAGCCTAAATGCTTGCCAATATAGACGAATCTCAAATTTATATATTTTTAAAAATTAATTACAAGCGTAATATATTGTAAAATAATAGTGTATTCAAAAAAGTTGGCAGTATTTTAAATAATCAGTTTTATTATTTAAATTATACAAAATAAACACGTATAAATTATAAATTATAAATACTTATACGTATAAATAATTATCATATAGAGTCGACGTTACAGTAAATAAAATAATTAAAAAAATTATAAAATACAAAAATGATCTATGTATTGTTTACGTTATTAATTTTATTTATTAATTAATTAATGAAAAATAAAATATATTTATAGTTATAAGATTATTTACCAGTGCATTATTTTTATTTACAACTTTTATTTATTCTTATATTAATTGTAATTATTAATTAATATATAGAACTATTTTAATAAGTACACATTTATATCACTATAATTTTTTTACTTCGATACTAAAAATCATTTTCTATTTAATTATTTATTTATTTAACTATACTATTTGTGTTAATTTTTTTAATGACTAGAGTTTCACTTATAACATTCATTTTTGAGTATTAAGAGACAAAACAAAATACTAAATTAATTGATTCACCGTTTTGATTTAATTTGGATTGTCAATAAAAAATAAATCATCTTTAATTTATTTCATTAGAATATGTAAAATATTTTTTCATTAAATAAAGCCATAAATATCACAAAATTAATGAGCATAAAAAAAATTATAAGAATTTTTTACGTAATTATTATAAAAAGCCATTAATGTTTTAATACATTTGCAAGAGATAAATTTGATGATAAAATTTTTTTCTATATTTTAATGAATTATTCAATTTTTTTTACCAAGTCTTACTCTCTTAGACAGGTCTTTGGGATATAATTTACAAAGTCTGGGACGAAGGATTTTTTTTTTCAATTACAACTATTTAAAAAAAAAAATTGCTGCGAAATTTTTAATTTTTTTGTAAAAACCTCTGCCAAAAATCCAATTTTTATTTTTTTTTCCTTCGTCCAAGTCCTAGTTTGAAGTCTTAACTAAAGCACATATTTTTTTTTTTCACTTCAAATAATTCTGCTGGGAGTTCTGCTAATCACGCAGTAAAAACAGTAAAAAGTTTAAATAAAATATTTCATTTTTTCTAAAAGAAAAAATTGTTGAAAATAGGTCATTTTTCCCGGAGGAAACCCATGTAACTCCTTAATTAATAATCAGTACCTTTTATGAGTTAGTTTGCCGATAATAAGTCATTAATTAAAATAACTAAAGCGTTTCATATCATAAATTAGTAAAATGATATTTTTCAACGTTTCCGTTTTGTCTCAGTCCTTATTAATAAATAATTTAATTATAATAACTAGACAGTAGCATCTTGATCATTCGTTTATGACAAATAACTTTGAGTTTCTTAAGTTGGAAAAAAAAAAAAAAAAAAATGTAATTAAAAAAAAATAAACTATTTTAGATAAAGAAATATTGACTTACAGTGGAAGCGTATTTAAGTGCAATAAATCTTGATGTTCCGCGATAATTGAAGTAAGTGGCACTTCAGTAATTGGTGTCGGAGGATCTTCACCACTGTGATCATGATGGTCTGAATGAAAAAAAAAAATTGTTAATCATGCAAATAATATTTTGCAAAAAGTTTAGTAAGATAATTATCTTAATTACTCATAACATCTAAAAAATATTATTTTTTCAATATAAATAATATTAAATGTTTTACCACTCGAAGAGCTTGAACGACTTCGAGCCGGCCAACAAATTCTGCACAAGTGTTTCAATAGTGAAAATTTATTCTTCGGCATACGCAGCAGTACGTAAAAATATGGATCCAGGGTAAAATGGACACCAAGTAGTACATCGGCTATTTGGAAAAATATTTTAATACTCTTTTTTATTACAGTCGTGGTCTCTTTTAAACTCAAGTAATATTGAGCTACGGGTATTGTAATCTGCAATAAAAATGGATGTGTAATTATTAATTATGATTGTACATAGTTTTATTTTTAATTGTGCATCATAATTCATTTAAATATATAAAATTGTTTTTGAATATTTATTATTTAAGCATCCGGTAAAACATAAATTTTTTTTATGCAGTTAAAAATATCAGCACTCAATACAATAATCACGTCAATAAAACGTGACAATAATACATTACTCGTCTATTAAATACTCGAGTTTCTTTAATTAAAATAAAGTTACTGGTACTTTAACCCTTTTATCAATTTCGCTGTAGGATACCTTTCAATTCAATTTTTAATAAAGAAATGACATATTTTTTCTACAACTTAATTGATTGAACTTTAAATTGATTAATAATCCAAGTAATAAATATTTTTTTTTTTAATTACCATGTGAGGCATCCAGCAAATTACAAATGATGTAGAAAGAACAGTCATCAATCTAGCAAATGCTCGTTCTTCACACGTAGAACCAACTTCTCCCAGCGTAAAAGTTTTTGAAGATGAAAATGCTTTATTGTGGGAGGCTGCACGTGAACATCTTCTCAATAGTTTATTTTTCTGGCGAAATTTACCTAGTACTTTAGCTACCGCTAAATTAAACCAAACTATAGAGAAGCATAGACAAGTTCCTAATAAAAAAATTTAATTAATTTATTTATTACAATAATGAAATATTAAATATCAATACTACACTAAGAGAAAAAAATTTTTTTGAAAATATGGGAATTTTTGCGACAAGAAATTAATTTTTTGGAAATTTTAAACAAATTTATTCCTTAGATGAAGAAATAAAAAATTTTCTCACAGTAACTCGGCTGCCCAATTTTAAAACACAGTAACTGCAAAATTTTTATACCTGATTTTTTTTTTACTATTGCTGCATTTTTTATAACTTTTAGACCTTAATTTCAACTATTTTTTCTTAAAAATATTTATATTTAAGTATTATCTATTCTTAAATCAAATTCGTCATCAATTTGGCGGGCAAACTTTTGTTTAATAAAAAAAATTGAAAAAAATTATTAAATGTTAGTTACTGTGTTTTGAAATTGGGCAGCCGAACTTTCTTGTTGGAAAAAAGTTTTCTAAATTCCTGTTTAAAAATATTCATTGAAAAAAATTCACTATCATGAGATTTGAATTTTTTTCAATAATCTCAATTTTTCAGTATATATCTATGGATACAAAATTTGCATAGAGTGAATTTTTTTAATTTTTTTCAATAAATAAAATTTTATTCAATGACTTAAAATTTGGTCACAGGAATTCAGGAAAATAATATCAAATTATGTATTGATTCTAGTTGAACGATTCGTTCTTTTATTAGGACTTCCTCAAAAAATTAATCATACTAGTTCACAATTTATAATATTATTCTTGAAACATATAAAGTATTAGTATGGATCTTATAAAAAAATTTTCCAACAATTAACAACTCAAATTTTCTACCAATTACCACAGAATATATTTTAAACTGTGAACTAGTATGATTAAGTTGCTGAGGAAGTCCTAATAAAAGAACGAAACGTTCAACTAGAATCAATACATAGTTTGAAATTATTGTCCTGAATTCCTGTGACCAAATTTTAAGTTATTTACATTTTCTGGAAGGGATTAAGATTTTATTCAATTTTTAAACATGGATTCGAAAAAAAAAAAAACAATTTCAGATAAAAAACTTTTTTTGTCCCAAAATTATTAAAAATTAATTTCTTCTCAAATGTTTTTTTTTTTTTTTTTTTTAAAGAAATTTTTTTTCTCTCAGTTCAATAGTTAAAAAAAATATATATCATCTAATAATAATAATTATATAATGAATATTTTACCAAAAGAAAAAGATAGATACGCATAGGCAATATCTACTGGCATTTTGGCCTCACGATAACGAACACACTGCCCATTATCATAATATAATCCAAATCCAAATAGTGGTAAACTCGTCACTGTTAACGCAGCTATCCAAAATATTATCATAAAATGTACAATCCTTGGATAAGTCACGTGCTGAAATAATAATTGTAGTTTTTAATTTTTATTTTAAAAAATTATTACAAAATTTTCTACTATATTAAAAAAAAATAAATAAAATTTTAATTATTAAGCCATTTTTGAAAAAAAAAATTTCTAACATTTTTATTTGTAAATTTAAATAATATTTTCAACAGTGTAATTATTTACATTAAAAATAATATTTATCACATTTGCTGACTCATTTATAGGATGCATATGATTTCTTCTTAATGACATAACACTAGTATTTACATTGGCAAGTTCAATGGACCAATGTTTACATTGGATCAATGAACAATAATTTACATTATTATTACAATATGTATTTTTATATAAAAATAAAATAACTTTTCATTTCAGTACAAAATTTTTACAAAAAAACTATTGAAGAAAAATTATTCTTGCAACAATATATTAAAAAAAAAAAAAATACAATAATTTTTGCTATCAATCTGCAAGAAAATATTGACAGTCTATTTATAATAAATGTAAATAAGATGTAAACAATTATTCAAATAGGTCAATAATTAATGGCCAACCGTTCATTATAAAAAATAGATAATGATAACCCACTTAATGAAACCAAGCAATATATCTGGTATTTAATTTAATAACAATAATAAAAAAAAAAAAATAAAAACTAAGTTTATTTTGAGAAGTTCCATTGCTTCTAAATCAATAAAACAATACATTTGTTTTAAATTGTTTTACACTTTAATGACCCACGAACTCTACTGATAATTAGTAAACATAAACATATTAACTGATATCAGTAAAGTATTTTTAAAAAATAATAATAATGAAGATAAATAAAAATCACGTAGTTCATGGAGTTAATTATAAATTTTGTAACTTGAAATAGAAATTAAAAATTATTTAATTTACCTTCTGATAAACAAACGGACGCGCCAAAGCTAGCCATCTCTCAACAGCCATAACAATCGCAACTCCGCCGCTAAAAAGCCCGAAAGTGCGCCAAAGTATTCTTAACGCGCAAAAATATTTTTGGGTTGCAATTAAAGGTGCGTAAGTCGCTACGTACATTTGAACCAATTGGCCCAAAAGAGCGATTAGATCATTAAAGGCCAGGCATCGCAGCATCAACAAATGTTTATGATTTCTCCTCTAGACAAAATTAAAAAATATTAATTTATAATGATTTAATGACTTAATGACAATGCAATTAATGGAAATTAAATTAGTTGACATCTGAAAATTTTTATTATTTTTTTATTGAAAAAAAAAATATTAAAAATAACTTCCCGATTTTTGAAAATTTTCAATTTTCTTCGAGTTAAAAAATTAAATGAAAATAAAAAAATAAAAATAGTTACAGCAGAAAAAACTTACATACAGGGGTTTAATTTAGTATAATAAAATTCACGCGGAAATAAGAGAAGAAACTAGAATTAAAATTTTTTAATTATTATTGTAAATTTACATAAAAGAAAATGTAGAATATTTGGAGAAATTAAATGATAAAATGTAAATAAATTGTAGATAGTATGTGAAGTGCAAATGACGAAATTAAAAGATGTTTTAATAAATTGTATAGAACTAATTGTAAAACAAAAATAGCTACTTAGCTAAATAAGTATATTATTATTGTTATTAATTAAAAGGAAAAATTTTAAATGCAATTTTAAAAAACTATTTTTTTACTTATAATTTTATGAAAATTAAGTTAGCCGACATTTAAAAAATTTTTTTTATTGAAAAAATTATTACAAAATAATAAAAAAAAAAATTCATATGTAAAAATATTAAAAAACTATAAGTGTAATTTTTTAAAAATATTTTTTAGTTATAATTTAATAAATAAAAAACAATCAAAAAATTAAAAACGTCGGCTAACTTTAGTATTATTATAATTTTTATTGATTCAAAAATCAAAAGTTATCAAATGTCTTCTAATTTTAGTATCATTTGCAATTAACAGACTTCAGTCAATTTTTTTGATTTTTCTATAAGCTAAATTATTATAAAAAAGTTGTAATAAAAAAATTCCATGTCTAGATTGTAAAAAATAAAAAGTACAATTTTTTTTTATAATGGATTTGTATTAAAAGTTTAAATAATTTTCAGATGTTTCCTGATTTCAGTATCATAATTTACAAAGGCAATAACTATAAAAACTATAAAAAATTTTTATTTAAAGTTTCTAATGTATCTCTACCTTGTCTTTATAAAAAAGTATAATCAAAGCTGAAATATTGCCGACTATTCCAAACATAAACACAAGCGTCAGAATAATTTGCTGAACAGCAGTAAGTTTTTTCGGAGTTGTTACATCGGTAAATGTAATCATTGTTGTTAAATTTGAATCCAATGTCAATAATGAGTTGTTCCATGACTCTAGTGTACTTGTCATTGTTACTTATTAAATTAAAAATGAATTTTAAAAAACACTGTTCACATCAATTAAAATGACAAACACTTGAATAAAAATTTGTTCCAGAAAAAAAAAAAATCCGCGCACTTTTAAATTAACAAAAAACACTAAACTGCTTTTTAATTAAGCGATTCACTTGTTTACTTTGTAATTTAAAAACAAGCGCTTTAAGTTTAAAATTTTTAATTAAAATTTAATGTTTCTTTCACAGATAAGAAATTTTTTATTTTTACGATCATCGCTCCCGGCGAAATCATCAATAAAAAATAAAAGAAACTAAAGCTGATTAATTTTTACTGAGAATTATTGTCAGTCGATATAAAAAGTATGTAATTAATCATTTAAGAGAAACTTCAAAAAAATCAGAATTAACGTCACTACGATAAGTTAAATTTCGTAAAAACGTTATCTCATGATTTCTTGAATACGGTTGGCGCGTAACTGATGTCGAGCGTTAACACCGCGGTCGTTTTATTACATTTCGATTTTATGTTATACATTACGCGAATTATTGCAAATTAATATGCGCAATTGTTTCTACGCATATTTCACATCCCTTGGATACATACAAATATATTAATAATGATAATAAGCTATTGTAAATGATAAGTATGTGTTTAAATTTTAATGAAAAGAATAAAAATAGTTCCTGTTGGATATTGGATCTATTAAATAATGCACAACACGTAAGGCGCCGCTGCATTGATTTATCATGCATGCATCAATGCAAGTTTGTTACCTGACTACATATGCACCTGATTGCCGATCAACAATCATTGATGGCCATATCATTTCATTTTATATAAATTTATAATACATGTGTGTATATGTGTGAATATTCGATGTAAGGAAACAAAGAAGTGAAGTATAGTTCAAGGTGGGTTGTATGATAAATTTGGCGATCAAAATATTCAATGATTAAAATTTTAATTTATTTTGTTTACAGAGGATTAATTGCAAAAAAATTAGTGGTATTTATATCACTGAATAATTTAACCAACTTAATGCTGTTGTATTTTTTATGAATAAAAAAAAGGTGAATTTTAAATTATAATAATTCAAATACATTTCACGGAAATCAGATAATTATCGATCTTAAAAATTTTAAATGCTAATTTAAGGCAATGTTGGAAATTTTTTTCTGTTATGAGAAAGATAATAATAATAATAATAATAATAATAATATAGAAATTATTCATTTTCATGGTCATCTAGTTTTTTGGTGATAAAAAGTAATTTTTAAATTTTGATTTCTTCCTAGTAGATTATGCGCGAAAAATAATATTTGTTATAAATTATTGACAAAATTTTATGAATAGTTTTTATTTTTATTTTTTTTTGTGATAAAAGTAAACATTTTTAGATGTTTTGTACGATTTAATCATTAAAAAAAAATCACTATCAAAAATGAAAACTTTTAGACAATTTATTGAGACTTTAAAGAATACAAAATTTTTTTTCTTCTTTCATTTTTTAATTAATTTTGTATCAATTTTTAATTACTTCAATTTTTTAAATATAATTTCTTAATTGTAATTTGTTTTTTAGTATCTAGCTGTTAAATTAAACTCTAATTTTTCTACTTGAAAATTTAGCTCTAATTTTTCTACTTAAAAATTCAACTTAATTTTGACTAATTTCTAATTTAAAGAGTTATATGTTATGTTAGTTAACAAAAACGATAAGTACTTAAATAAATAAGTAAATAAATTCTATTACGATTATTTAGAGCTCATTACACGCAAAAAAAAAAATTGGGGCTGCCACATGATTTTCCTGTGACAGCAACATGACTTTCATGAGACAAGCAATAATATTTAAAACAGTAATAATAATTATCATAATAATAATAATCTATATTATTAAGAGAATAAGAAAAATTTTGTGGCCAGTGCATTTATATGATAAAATGGGTTTTTATGGTTGAGTTTGGTATCATTAGAAAGGTCTTGACCTGGAGTTGTGCCTTTTCAAGGTTTCATATCATTCTCATCAATAGTCAATAGTGTTTATTATGATAGAAATTAAGGCTGCATTCGAAAATGCTCTATCTCTAGATACATAATCAAGAAATTACCTCGCATCTGGTGAACTATTGCCATTTTTAAAGATACAAGCTCACTCCGATATTACACTTATCGAGACCTTTTATTTGAGTACCCACATCAACTTTTCATATATTTATATATATTATATATATGTATATATGAAAAATATATCAAAAATGCATGTGGGTACTCAAATGAAAGCTCTTGATGAATGTAACATCGGGATGAGCTTATATCTATATCAAGAGCTTTCATTTGAGTACTCACATGCATTTTTGATATATTTTTTATGTATACATAATATATATAAATATATGAAAAGATGATGTAGGTATTCAAATGAAAGGTCTCGATGAGTGTAATGTCGGAGTGAGCTTATATCTTTAAAAATGTCAATAATTCACTAGATACAAGGTAATTTCTTCATTATTGACATTTTTTAAGATATAAGCTCATCCCGATGTTAGACTCATCAAGAGCTTTCATTTGAGTACCCACATGCATTTTTGATATATTTTTCATATATACATATATATAATATATATAAATATATGAAAAGTTCAAAGAAAAGGTCTCGATAAGTGGAATATCGGAGTGAGCTTGTATCTTTAAAAATGGCAATAGTTCACCGGATGCGAGGTAATTTCTTGATTATGTATCTAGAGATAGAGCATTTTCGAATGCAGCCTTAATTCCTATCATAATAAACACTATTGACTATTGGTGAGAATGATATGAAATCTTGAAAAGGCATAACTCCAAGTCAAGACCTTTCTAATGATACCAAACTCAACCATAAAAACCCAATTTATCATATAAATGCACTGGCCACAAAATTTTTCTTATTCTCTTAATAATATAGATTATGATTATTATTATGATAATTATTATTGCTGTTTTAAATATTATTGCCTGCCACATGAAAGTCATGCTGCTGTCACAGGAAAATCATGTGGCAGCCATATGGAAAAAATCATGTGGCTGCCACAGGAATGTATCATGTGGCAGCCCCAATTTTTTTTTTTGCGTGTATGATTATAGATTAGATATACAATAGGATTTGATTATTTATTTATTTATTTAGTACACATAAAGTCTAGCAATCAAAATTGTTTTACTTCAGCTTTTCGTTAGAAAATACTCAGTTTTAAAAAACTCAAGAAGCTATAATTTTTTTTAGCATTTCAAAAGTATTACTAAACGTTCATTTAAAATTTTTTTAAATTTTACTTAAAGAATAATTAAAAATTACTAGCTAAAAAAGTGTTTCTTTGCAGAGATTTCAACGATTAAATCAACCCGGTGATTTTATGAATAATAAATTATTCAAGTTATTTAACAATAATAATAATAAAGTATAAATAAATAAATATTATTCTACAAATCTAAATGTAGAATAGAATATTGAATGAGGCATTGTTAGTAGGCCATTGAATCGTAATTAAAAATGTCAGTAATCGTCTGTATGCATGTCTACATCTACTAAATGATTATTGTAATTATTAAAAAAATTTTTAAAATTAACTTTGAATATTTTATCATAAAAATACAATAGAGATTTATGAATATAATAAGATCGAGGAAATGAATTAAAATAATGCGATAAGTCAAGATCATACTTGCATAATGATATTTTTAATGGGTTTATAATTATAATTTTAATAAATTCTATACAAAAACAGAACCAATTGTCTAAAAATAATTCGGAATAAATTTTAAAAGATATAATTAAAAATTTATTGTTAAATAAGCTAATTAAAACTAGCCGTTACTTAACAGTTTTTTTAATTTTCTTCAACAAATTTGTTCCAAAAAGAATTATTTTTAAAAAATTGCATTTTTAATTAATTTATTAAAATTTCTATGTCAATTTTTTTTTATAATTGTTTTTTTGCCATAATTTATTTGTTAAAAAAATTCGTAAAATTATCAAATAACTGCAAAATAAATTTTCATATGTTGTCATTTAAATATTATTATTGAAAATTAGTTTTGTAGTGACGATCGCGTTGTCCCTACTAAATTTTCAACGTCGACGATTCTAACTTTAAATATATATGCCTATTCCCAAAATAACTGTATGGATTTGGCTTTCAACTCATGCTTCTTTACCTCACTTGTTCACATTTAGTCGATTACGTTCTTTACTATTATTCTTCACATTAGTTTTTTAAGATACAATAATATATCAATAGTTATCTTCTTTTTTAATAAATTATAAATATATTATAATAATAATAATAAATAATATTGTTGAACTTCATTATCATCATAAGTGACCGATTATTGTGGTAAGTCTTGTTTAATTTTTGTAATAATAATTTCCCGCACGGAAAAAGTATATATTCTGGAATATATTCTGAAATATATTCCAGAATATATTCCGAATATACCCCGTTTTGCCCGAAGAATATATTCCGGAATATATGGGCATGCACTCACTTGTATTCCGTTTTACTCAAAATTTTTCTCTGGTCTGTCGTCAGATCTATAGTCTGATCCATCGTATATATACTGAATATATTCAGGTATATATAATTTTGAAATATATTCCTTGGGCAAAACGGGGTATATCCGGAATATATTTAGAATATATGAATATATTTCAGAATATATTCCAGAATATATACTAGAATATATACTATTTCCGTGGGGGTTGTTGAGGGCCCATTTTGCCCCCCCCCTACCCCTATTCAGTTTCCTGTCATTATTTGATTGATTGTTCTAATTTTATTAGGGTAAAAAATTGGGAGTAAATTCAGAGTGAAACTTAACTCCTATCACTCCAAGTACCGAAGTATGGGGTTGTATTTCATCATTTTTTTTATAAATAATAAATAATTAAAAAAATTAACATTTTAAATAAAAAATAATTTTAAAAAATTTTTCAATCAATTGCAAAAAATTCTTTTTTTAATAAATAATTAGTCAATTTTTTAACAAAAAATATAATGAAAAATTTTTATTTAAATTATAAAATTACAAATTTCTAATATAAAGTTTTGTTAAAAAATAAAATTAATATTAATTGTTAATAAAATAGAAAAATGAATTATCAACAAAGTAAAGTTTTTTAAATTCTTGTGTTGATATTACGAACTAAAATGGTATATAAATAGGTATATCTATATATATAATAAGACACCGGATGGGTTATATATTATTGTACTTTGGTTATTAACGATAAAACTTTTGCTAAATATTTATTTATTTATTGCGCTTGAAATAGTAAACAATGGATCTGGACAAGGAGAGTTTAGCAGTTTTGAATACTGTGCTCAATAATCCACAATCAATTCCTGATGAAGATGTAAGTTATTATTATTTATAATTAAATTAACCTTATAATTTGTTTTTAAGTTAAATTGTTGATAAAATTAAACAATTTAATGAAATTAACAGGCATTTGATTATTTTCAGAATTTTTTTCAACGAATAAATTATAAATTTAATAAAAAAATTGACAATTTTATGATTTTAAATCTAAAAAATTTGACAATTTTTTTTGACAATTAAATTATAATGAAAACTATTCAGAAAATTCTATTTATTTATTAAAAAAAAAAAATATATCAATCATTTGCTAATTTTAAGTTCATGAAAATATTCAACATGTAAAAATTACATGACACTGAAGTTAGCAGACGTCTAAAAATTTTTGATTTTTTTTTATTAATTAAATTACAACTAAAAAAATTTTTCTAAAAAATTGCACTTATAGATTTTTAAGTTTTTTACATGTGACAATTTTTTTTTTAAGTTTTTTTAATTAAAAGTTTTTTAATAAAAAATTTTTGTTAAATGTCGGCTAACTTAATTTTCATAAAATTACGACATTAAAGTTAGCAGTCACTTTACAATTTTTTAATTTTATTTAACAAAAAAATTTCTTCCAAAAAATTGCATTTTTAGTTTTTTAAAATTTCTACATGTCAATTTTTTTTGCACTAATTTATTTCATAAAAAAATTTTTTAATTTATTAAATATCTGCTACTTTAATTTTCATGTAAAAATAAAAAAAAAATATTAATTTATTTTTAAATAAAATAAAAAAAATTGTCAAGCGTTTGTTGATTACAGTTTTATAAGTTAAAATGTTTATTTAATAATTATTAATTTAATTTTTTTTTAACAGTTGGGCGGAGGCGGAGGAACGCATGGCAAAAAACACACTAAGCCAAAAAAAAAAGATTCATCATTGAACCACGGTAATGACTTGACCGAAATATTAAAATCAAATAGTTCATTGGATGAAAAATTGCAATTAGTATGTAATAAATACTCTGAAATAATGCACGCAAATCGTAAATTGATGGTCGCATATAAAATGTCTGAGGGACGTGCTACTAAATTGCAACTGGAGAATGAACAGTGTCAGCAGCAACGTTCAAAAGCAGTATTGGCGCGCTCGCGTTTGGAAAATTTGTGCCGAGAATTACAGAAGCTTAACAAGGCGCAAAAAGAAGAAATTGATCTTAAATTACGACTCGAGGAAGAGAAGAGAAAAGAAATATCGGCTACTTTTCAGAGTGCCTTCGCTGAAATGAGCACTCTTACTAATCAGAACACGGAGAAAAATACTAAGATGCGGGAGGAAAATATGGAAATGCGGGAGAAAATAAAGTCTGTACGCGAGCGTATTGAGTTGAGTGAACAGCAGTTGGAAAAAGTACGTCAACAAGCTCAATTAGAAATAGAACTAGCAGAAGCTAAAATGGCTGCTTCAAAAATGGAAATGGTTGCTGAAAAAGAGAGCTTGTTGAAAGAAAAACAACAATTATTACTGGTAAGTTTTTTTTTAAATTAATATTTTAATAACAAATGTCAATTTTTTTTATTTTTATAATAAATCAATAACAATAAAAAAATGCTTTGAAAAATTTCTAAGAATAATTTTTTTTAATTTTCACAAGTGGAATTTTTTTATTAAATTTTTTTCATAATAATTTAATTGTTACTAGCAACCTTGCAGTCACTATGTGACTGCTGTAACTTGTGAAGACTATATGAATAAAATTTTGCTTTATTAAATAATGACTTGTTAAATTTCACTGTACTTTCTTAATCATTGACGTTTTTAAAGATATAAGCTCATCCTGATGTTACACTCATCAAGAGCTTTCATTTGAGTACCCATATGCATTTTCATATATTTTTTATATATACATATATGTAATATATATAAATATATAAAAAATTGATGTGGGTACTCAAATGAAAGGTCACGATGAGTGTTATGTTAGGATGAGCTTATATCTTTAAAAATGTCAATAGTTCACAAGATACTGGGTAATTTTTTAAATATTGACGTTTTTAAAGATATAAGCTCATCCTGATGTTACACTCATCGAGACCTTTCATTTGAGTACCCACATGCATTTTTGATATATTTTTCATATATTCATATATATAATATATATAAAATATATGAAAAATTGATGTGGGTACTCAAATAAAAGGTCTCGATGAGTGTAACATCGGAATGAGCTTATATCTTTAAAAATTTTATTAGTTCACAAGATACAAGGTCATTTCTTACTTATGTATCTAGAGATAGAGTTAAATACTTATCTAAATAAATTAACTATCGATGAGAATGATATGAAACCTTAAAAAGACACAAATTCAAGTCAAGACTTTTGCAATGACACTAAATTTAACTAAAAAAAAAACCTACTTTATCATATGACTATCTTAGAAACAAAATTTTTCTTTTTTTCTTAATAATAAAAATTAGATTAATAATAAAATTGAACTTATTCGTAAAACAATGTGTTTTTTTCTACAGAAATTAACCGAGTATCAAGTACGAATAAGTGAACTACAAGCAACTGAAGTTGGATTGAGAAGTCAAATTAGTATGTACACTGAAAAATATGATGATTTCCAGAACGCGTTAGCTAAAAGTAATCAAGTGTTCAGTGGATTCAATGAAGAAATGGAAAAGGTAATTATTTAGTTTAATTTTGATTAGCTGGTAATGAAAAAATGATGATTAAATAGAGTAAATTTATTTGCAGATGTCTAAAAAAATCGTAAAATTAGAAAAAGAAACGAGTTTATGGAAACAACGGTGGGAGAAAAGTCATGCATCGTTGCTGGAAATGGCTACCGACAAACAAAATCGAGATACTGAAATGTCCAAGCTAAATCATAAATTATCATTGCTTCAGGAATTATGCAAGGCTTTTCAACGTGAACGTACGGAATTATTGGCTCAACTACGAGCGGTAAATGGCCCCGCTGCATCTAGTGTCCATAATATTAAATTGGATAAAGTCGATATAAAACAAGTTGAAGAATTATCACAAGACTGTCAGCAATTGAAAGATGACTTGGCGCATTTACAAGATAATTTATCTGAAACTATTGTTGAGACTAATGAAGAGAATATTAAGTCTGGGACGAGTAATGAAGATGGTGGTAAAAAGGCTGTTGGTGATAAAAATGAAAGCGATTTAGAATCAACAAATAATGTTCAAGTTAATTCTCAGTCGACTGAAAATGATGTCAAGGACAGTAAGCCAGAGGTCGAAGTAAAAGCAATTAAAGAAGAAGGAAATAAAAATAATGAAGCAGAACAAGGCAAAGAATCTAGTGACGGAAAAGGAATTAAAGATGGGGATTTTAAAGAAGTTGAAGAAATTGTTGTAGAAAGCCAAGAAAAGGAAAACAAAATTGAAAGTGGGGTAAAAGAAAATGAAATAAAAGAAAGTACTGAATTAATACCTGTGACAAATGAAATTGAAAATAAATCAAATAATAATAATGAAAGATTAAATAGTAATGAATCTCTTCCAGTGTCTCAGTCAATAAACACATCTAATTGTCATATAAATGTAGAAAATCTTAAAATTGATAATTCTAGTGTTAACTCATGCTCAATAATTAAATCTACCGACAGCCCTACATGTACTGAACCTCAAGAAATTAAAGTTTCTCAAACAAATGATTCAACGATTCAACACGAAATTAAAATTAATGATAGTGATGAATCTAAAGCAAATACCATTGAAGAAAAAAGTAATTGCTGTACATTAAATAAGAAGAAAAAAGGAAAAGTATGTCTCCTGTTTTAATTTAGTCAATTATTTAAATTAAGGCCCAGTTTTTCAATCCGAGATAAAATTTTATCCTATGTCTATCTATATTAGGGTGGCGCAAAAAAAAACTAACTATTTTTGTTTTGTCTCGAGTGAAAACATGTCAGTTTTTGATGTTTTAAGAGCCCTCTCCAAAGAACAGCTCGGAAAAAATTTTTAAGAGGTCACTCCAAATTTTTTTATATTTAAAAAATCGAAATTTTTTTTTTTATTTTTTTTTTTTCATTACGTCATAATTTTATAGACCAAAAAAAAATAAGTTCCTGGAAGTTTGAAATCAAAATTTAAATTTTGAAAGGTCGCTCATAATTTTTTTTACATTTCAGAGTTAAAAAATGCTAATCCAATTAAATAGTCACTAATAAATTAAAAAAAAATTATGAGCGACCTTTTAAAATTCACATTTTGAACTGAAACTTTCAGGAAAACCTTCTTTTGGTCTATAAAATTATGACGTAACGAGAGAGCTCTTAAAACATCAAAAACTAACATCTTTTCACTTGATATTAAAAAAAAAAAATAGTCGGTTTTTTTGCGCCACCCTAATCTATATATCTCATGTTTATAGATATACTGGCAATAATAATTTTATCCTGGATAAAATTTTATCTCGGATGGAAAAATTGACCCTAATAATTGCTAAATAATTAAAATTTTATTATTTATTGTTTGTTTCAGGATGGAAAACGAAAGAAATAACTTTTTTTATACGGAAGACTACAAAAATTAACAATAATTTTTACGATTGATTTAAATAGTAAATTAATTAGACTTATCAATGAACAATTTTTTTTCATAATTCATTTAATTATTTATGTAATACATTAATCATTTAATATAATGAGTGGTAAGATGAACTGTTAAAACTAAACCCAATAAATGCGTAAGTAAAAAAAAAACATTTTCAATAAAAAACTTTCTAGCAGAACAAACGTATTTAATTAAAATTAAACATTTTTAATGAATATTATTAAGTAATTGTCATTATATTTTATACATATCAGAAAGTCCCTAATTTTTTAGTTCTCAATCAAAGTATTATTATTAAATTAATATGCATCGCAGAATATATACTTTCTCTCGAATCTTTATACTGTAATTAGAAGTTTAATCCCATTTCACATTTGCCACAGCAAATTTTTAGATAATAACCGCATGCAATTTTTAGTTTTTATTCTATCAGTCAAATTACGTCAGGAATTTATTTATATATTTTATAACTATGAGAAACAATTTCTGTGGTTTAAATAATTTATTTTAAATTAAAAAGTGTCTTCGCTAATGTCTTAGGTTCTGGGTACTGTCAGGACAATTTTTAAATTCTGGGGTATTTTTATAAATTTTTTCAATGACAGACTGAGTCAATAAGTTTATAATATGATACATGCCACTACTGTCCCGTTATAGTTTTTATAAGACTTGAGTGGGTCAGCAGCACTTTACTTATTTACTACATCATCGTGTACATGCAACACCAATATTATCAAGTATAAAAGTATTAACCGTGTGTAAACGCTATTGGGACTTGGTGGGGCCTGGTGGGGCCTTTTTAGTCTCAAAGTACAACGCGTGCTTGTCTTCTCACTGGGCATTGAGCGATATTAGTGATCGAGAACACGAGATACCTATCGCACGTACTTTTATTAAATTTAATTTTAAATTACTATACACTTGTTAAATTTTTTTGGTGTAATTAATATTATTATATTATTTCATAAGTTTTTTCATCGACCAACTCAAGATTTTGTAATTTTTAATTGAACCGTGGATTAGCTTCAAATATGAAGTTTACCGCGATTTATTTATTACTCCTGACAATTGGTATGTAAAAAATTATTCAATGTAATTTATTAATTTTTAAATTATTAAAAAAAAATTTAATTTTTATTTTTTTACCGTTGGTTGAGCTTTGTTACTTTTAAAATTGTATTTAAATATTTAGTCACACACTAGATAACATTGTTAAGTTGCAATTACACTTGTATTATTATTTTTAAAAATGAGAAATCTAGTAAATTTTTGTACCGTAAGATCTAGAATGTTCGCATATCAATGTGTCCTTGAATGCTCAATAAAAAAATTAAAAAAAAAGTGTAACTTGAATTTCAATCAACGGTAAAAAAATATATATAAAAATAATGGGATAGTTCTTCTTGTAAAAAGTATAAATATATTTTATTCTGTGCTATAATCTATCATAAATTTTTCTCATGACTATTATTATTTATCTAAAAAAAATTCTGACTTTTTCTCACTAACACATCTTACTATTTTAATTAAATAGTCTGTATATATAAACATTTAAGCAACTTTAGTTATTGAAGTTGCGTGTACATTAAATCATCTTATAAATTATAAATAATAATTACTTCTATTAATTTTATTGTATAAGTAAATTTTTTAATTTTTAGATTTAAAATACAAAAATATCTATAAAGCGGCACTTTCATTTTTTTCGGACTGAAAATGCAAAACTTTTGTATAAAATAAAAACTGTCCATTTCACAAACTAGATTACAAGGATCTAGTACTAGAAAGTGGAAATTAATCGCTAGTATTGGTAATATGAAAATAAAAAAATAAAATTCGATCAACTCAGCTGTAAAAAATAGGTTGTAATGATTATTGAAACTTTGGTATATAATCATTAGGTACAAACAATGCCAATTTAATGAATGATATGTTTATAAAAAATATTAGTAAAAAATATCAAATGAAAATCGGTTCAATAAAATACCTAAATATTAGATGTAGTTTTATTATTAAAAATAATTACACTATCGCGTGATGCTGGCAAGTGAAATAGAAAGATATTTGATATGTTATTAAAAAAAAATCTGCGGAAAACAGTGTCTCAGTGTTTATTTTATACTGACCCTTGTATTTACCGCGGACATTTAATTTCACTTATCTAATTCTCGACAATTATTTTTTTTACTATAATTAAGTATTTTATTTATATTATATTTATATTTAAATTACTCTACATAATTATGTCTTTTGCAAGTGAACGAACTTGTCAAGTTAGATAATGAGATTAAAAAAAAAAAAAAAGCTTACGGAAGAATTTAAATTTTGTGGAGGGAAAAGATGCAAAAAATAAATATTTATTGGTAAATATTTATAAGTGGGGTCAATCATTTTCATTTTCATTTTTTTGAACGAAATTTTTATTTGACTTTATTAATGTTTTTTTTTTTTTTTGAAAAATACATACAAAAAATGAACAATTTTAAAAAAAAATTGATTATCAAAATTTTAACAAATTTTCAAAAAAATTTATAAATTTTTTTTAAAATTTTGATATTAAACTTTTTTTTTAATTGTTTGTTTTTTTAATGTACTTTTCAAAAAAAAAAATAAATCAAAAAAAGATAAAATAAAAATTTTATCCAAAAATATGAGAGACAAAATTTTTTCCAACTTTTGAAGGCAAAAAAGCTATCAAAATCTTTATTTTTTTTATCATAAATTAGCCGTAAAAACAAGCAGAATCAAAAAAACAAAATTAAAAAATTTTAATTGTTCACCTAATTATAGCCCAAAATAAAGTTGACCACTCTTGTAAATAATAATCACTATTTTCTTTGGAATTTTAATCTTGGTTAAAGATATTTATTTCTTTTAATTAAAATTACCTTGAAAAGAAAATTTAATTTTATTCCAGAGAACTTTTTAATTAAATAAAAACAATTAATTTTCTTGAAAAAAATTTGAACTGAATTAAATTAACTTAGATCAAAAAATTTAAAATTGACTAATATTTGTTATTAATAATAAAAAAATATCTAAATAAAAAATCGATCAATGGTCATTGTCAGGTCATCGAGATTGTCAGCGGGTCATCGGAGTACAATCACACCAAGTGGGTCACTAGGCTATGGCCAATGGCACACCTGTATTTTATTGTGAATGTTTTATTAACTTGTCTTTAAAACAATGATTTATAATTTTTTTGGAAATTATAACTTGCAATAAATTATTTGTACAAATAAAATTATTTATAGAAAGAAAAAAAGTAAGAAAGTAAATGAAATTAAAGAATTAAATAGAAAAATATCGTGAATTATAAATTTAAGATAACGGTAATTCGCGTGGTCGGTGAGAAAAGTTGACTAAGCTTGAATTGTATTGATGTTACTCATCCAGGATTTGATGAGTAGTTCAATAATATAATTTTAGTAATACTCATCATTATAAATTATAACTATACAATTATCTACATGCAAAGTTAAAAGCTATTCTTTATATTATTTATTTATTTATTTATACTATAGACAAATAACACATATATGTGAATCAAAAGTACAAGTAGCTAAATTGCTAAATAATTTAATAGCTAAATAGTTAGTTATTGCTACTAAAGTACACATAATCGTAATTATTATGATATGGTGGCCTTATGACGACGAAAGGGAAAATATACTTTCTCTTATTTTTATAATTATATCGATTATTGATAATTATTAATAAATGCTATTGCTACGCGTTGATTGATTTATTTCAGTACTAATTATAATTGAAATAACAATAATAATAATTATATAGTATTGCAAGACGTGTAATTAATAAATTGAAATTATTTGCAATTTATTTCCTAATACAAATAACTTTAATAATAAATAATAATTTTAAATAATAATAATAAAATTTTTTTTAAGAATAATAATGATAATAATAAATTGAAATTATTTGCAATTTATTTCTTAATATAAATAATTTTTAAATAATAACAATAAGATTTTTTTTCAATAATAATAATGAAAATAAAAAAGATCATAGCACAGAGTATAAAATAAAAAAAAAAAAACTGAGGAGATTTGATAATAAATGAAGAAAAAAAAATGGTATTGCCGGTTTGGTGTTTTAGGATGTACATGGAGAGAGACAATAAGTACGTGTGTACTGGAATCGGACTTTGGTTTCATGCTTAACTGTGTCTTCAAAAAATCATCCCTCTTTCGAGTAAGAAATCTTGGTGGTGTCAAAGGTTACGTCGGCCTCGGTGAGTGTCCGACATCGAATTAAGAATTTTTTTTCTGACTGTTTGTTTTTTGCTATTGTTATTAATATCAATTCGTCGATTTTATTTAGTAAATAACTGAAATAAGGTCATTTAAAGTGACCTTGAAAATTATTCGAGGGCACTTTCCAAATTCTCGGTGATTTTAGAAACGAAAAATAATTAAGGAAATTTGCGTCCTTCAAAACTTATTACTTTAATAATTATTAATTTTATATAAAAATTCAATATTAATTTTAATTTATTGCTTACTAACAATAATAAAAATCTGTTAAAATTTCTTCTTTTAATAAATACAAATTTATTTCTTCTCTGCATGGATATTAACTTTTGTATAATAAAAAAATAATTTTTAATTTTTAAACAAATACTTTGCTAATATTTATCTATTATAAATAAAAAGAAAATTTTTTTTTTTAATATTTGCTAATAACAGGTAAAATATCTACACATTATGTACAAAGATTACGACAGATACAGCTCTTCGACCTAGATATTTTTCATCTCGTGTGTTAAAATATAAAAATAAAACTTTTTTACAGTATTTATTGATATGAATTATTCATAAAACATTTAAACTCATCTGTAATATCAATAAAAGGTGCATGTAAAAAATATCTCATTGCCGCTAAAGTGTTTGCATGTATTATATGTGAAGATATGAAGATATATATGTACTATAATAGATAAATATTAATATACATTATCCTTTTATGCTATTGACATAAATAAGTTTCATAATTATCACACGAGCTTACATCGATAATTATTTCTATTAAGCAAATAAAAAAAAAAAATCTTTGGATGAATTAGTGTGACAAATTATATTATAAGTAATGACCTAATGACAGTAAATTTTAAATTACAGGTTTTTCTGTCGGTGATGAACTCGGATTTCAAGAATCATTATCCAATTTGGAGAGCAGCAAGCGACGTAGTGTACAAGCCGATGGAAGAAATACTGTTGGTATAGGAAGTGGGGTAAGTTGACATGACACTAATTATTTACTTACCATACTAGTTATTCAGTCAATCATTTTTTTTCTCGTTAAAAAATGTATAACTTTTTTCGTAATAAATTTTAAATTATAGATAGCAAGATATTTAATTTTTTATTTTTTATTTCAGTAATATTTATGAAAGTATTAAATTACCTTGTTACCAAATAAAAATTTATAATTTTGCAATAATTTATTTTTTTAAATTTATGTCATTGTCTTATGGGTCAGTTAACTCTAGATCATTATTATTGTGTATAGAATAAATTATGAATACATTCATTCAAATAATTATATTGAAAGAGATGTCAGAGAAAACTTTTTTTTTTATTTTTAGTTCTGTTAAAAAAATTTTATATTAATCATGAAAGTTTAAAATATTTACATTGTTCACAATCATTTTCAAAGATGTAAGCTCACCCCGACATTACACTCATCAAGACCTTTCATTTGAGTACCCACATCAATTTTTCATATATTTATATATATTATATATATGTATATATGAAAAATATATGAAAATTCATGTGGGTACTCAAATGAAAGCTCTTGATGAGTGTAATATCGGCATGAGCTTATATCTTTAAACAAGTCAATAGTTAAGAAAGTACAGTGCAATTTAATTGATATCTTCTGAATTATTGATATTTTTAAAGATATAAGCTCATTCCGATGTTACACTCATCGAGACCTGTTATTTAAATACCCACATCAATTTTTCATATATTTATATATATATATTAGATATATGTATATATGAAAAATATATAAAAATTGATGTGGGTACTCAAATGAAAGCTCTCGATGAGTGTATCATCATAATGAGCTTATCTCATTAAAAATATCGTAAGTTGACGAAATACAGTATAATTTTTTAATTATTGAAATTCTTAAAGATATGTAAGCCCGCCCCGATATTACACTCATCAAGACCTTTCATTTGAGTATCCACATCAATTTTTCATATATTTATATATTTCACAAACACCATATATATAAAATATATAAAAAATGCCATGTGGGTACTCAAATGAAAGGTCTCGATGAGTGTAACATCAAAATGAGTTTATATCTGAAAAAATGTCAATAATTAAAAAATGACATTGTATCTTGTCAACTGTTGACATTTTTAAAGATATAAGCTCACCTCAACATTACACTCATCGAGACCTTTCATATGAGTACCCACATCAATTTTTCATATATTTATATATTATATATATATGTATATATGAAAAATATATCAAAATGCATGTGAGTACTCAAATGAAAGCTCTTGATGAGCGTAACATCGGGATGAGCTTATATCTTTAAAAACGTCAATAGTTAAAAAAATACAGTGCAATTTAACGAAAGGCATTATTTAATAAAGCCAAATTTTATTTATTTTTATTATGCAAATCACGGCAGTCACATGGTGCTAGTTGTAATAATGAAATGAAACTAACTACCGAAAAAATTTCTAGTTCACCAAGCGAGATGACATGAGAACAAACACGAAAGTAGTACCTCCATTCAAGCCATTACCTCCAGGAGCATCTCGTCCAATGGCAGCTCAACCGGAGCTTCAGCGACTGGTCGTTCAGAGGAACTCGACGGCTTTGAAAACAATTCCAGCACCATCGCTGTCAGCAATGCAAGAAGCAGCAGCAGTGCGCCAGCAAAAATTACAACAGCAACAAAAATTAGCGTTGCAACAACAGCAGCTGCAACAAAGAGCGCAGTACGAAGCTAAGCTGCGCCAGCAGCAGAGAATTCAACAGGAAGCTTTGGCTTTAAAAGTGCTGAAAGAGCAGCGACAACAGCAGCAAGAGGCTCTTATTCAACAGCAGAAATTGGCGTTGCAACGTCAGCAGGCCATTCAGCAATCACTGGCTCTCCAGAACAAGCGTGTTCAGGTACTCAATAGTCAATAGTCAATTAAATTATTGGCTCGTGCCAATTTTTTCGACGTATGCTTACTCGACTCAGGGTAATAAACTTAACTCGTATAATGAAATTCTTAAATTAAATAACCCGTCCGTTATGTTTTAACCATCGTCTCGTGTCAATAAAACATGTCACTACTTTCTAAAGATGACGCAGCTTTATCTCAGTATTCTATCAACCAATTTTCCTCTTTCTCATTATCTTCACAAATATCTCTTCTCTCTTCTTATAGTGATTTATTAGACACGATCGTTTAATTATTTGATGAAATCATTACAGGTACAGCAGAGCTTAGCAATGAATGTCAACGATCTTTCGTACGCTCAACCTTTGCCACACATCGTTGCTGCTATACCTCCAGCTGGAAGCATTGTTAACATGAACAATAAAATAGCAAGCGATTCAAAACCTTTGACAAGTAAGATGTCAGTTTCTAATAGTGGGCTACCTTTCATTGCGATGCCTGAATCATCTGCACAATTGACCGATCGTATTAGTCACAGTCCAGCTATCATACAAGATTCTGATAATCAATTATCTAAGGACAATTTTATTCAGGTAAAATACCTGGTTATTTATAATTAATTCATCATTAAAGTTTATTTTTAAAAAAAGAACTTTAATTTTTATTATATTCTTGTTTAAAATTATAGTTTTTTCACTAAAGGGAACGAAGAGAATTTTTCTAAATTACTTTTTTAAAATATTGTTTTTTTTTTAGATTTTTATTCTTTCATAAAGTATCACAAAAATTAATTTTTAATTTTAATAAAATTAATGGCAATTATTTATAAGTGGGGTCAACCCTATTTTGAGTCATAACTAGGTGAAATATGAACATTTTTTATTTTTTTTTTTTATTTTGCTTGTTTTTGCAGTGCATTTATAATAAAAAAATGTCGTAAAAGATAAAAATAAAGATTTTGATAGCTTTTTTTTGCCTTTAAAAGTTAGAAAAAATTTTGGCTTTCATTTTTTTGGATAAAATTTATATTTTATCTTTTTTTTGATGTTTTTGATATATTTTTTTTTAAAAAGTACATAAAAAAATGAACAATTTAAAAACAAAAATTGATCAATTTGATCCAAAAAAAAAAATTTAACATGGGCTAGCATGGGTTGACCCCACTTGTAAATAATTACCAAATTAATTTTGGTAAAAAATGATAATTTCATTTACTCAATCGTATATTTGATAAGTTGTGTAATAATTTTAAAATTCTTATTTTTTAATTTATTTTACCATAAATATTTATATTTATAGTTCTCATATTAAAAACAAAAATTCAACTTGTCAAGGTCGGGGTCAAGATTAAAAAGCATTTTATTATTCTAAAAATTTGATAGAAATATGCGTTTATAAGAAAGATTCTATGCATTAAGTACATCTAATTTACATTTTTTATTATTATTCTTATTTATTTGACACATTTACTATATTATTTATTAGTTAATATACCTACTTCTATAATTATTCTTTATGAAAGAAAATATATAAAATTAACATTATTTAAAAGACTACATTCTAATAAATAAATTTCTTGTGGTAGCTTCCATTGCCAAATGATGAAATGACGGCATCAGTTAACGAAATGACACTTCAGTCACTAAATCCAGCAAACACAGCAGAAGCTGTTGAATCAACAAAGCAACAGAATGGAAAACGTCAATCTCTACCGTCATTAAAACCGATTCAAGGAATGGAAACATCTCTGAAGGCTCTTGCAGAAGCTAGTAATATTACATTAGAAGCTCTCGAAGCAGCTATTCTGCTCAGACAACAACAGTTGATGGAAAAGCAGCAAGGAACTACGACCACTACAACCACCACGACAACACAATCTCCAATTAAAAGGTACTATTGGCAATTATAATTAATTAAAAAGGATGAAAATAAAGTTAGCCGACATCTAAAAACCTTTATAATTTTTTTTAATAAAAAAATTATTAGGGTAAATGCACCAGTTGTTGACCGGTCACCAATTATTTGACCGATGTATAAAAAAGTTAACTAATTAATATTTTACAGGGGTTTTTTTTTTCTTAAAGTATTAAAATAAAACAATATGGCATTTAATTATCATAATAAAAAATTACGCAATTAATTGGGCAGTGATTATAGCTTAAAAAAAATATTCTGAGTTTGTTTACAACGGAACCAGCTATAAAGCGGTCAAAAATAACTAGCGTACAATTGGAGAGTGAGAGCATTTCATCATTAATTTAGTAATATTTATCGGCATAATATAAAATATTTTAGTTTTATTATGTTAATTAAAGATCAGATTCCAACTTTTTTGAAAAAATAAAGTTAAATTATAAGTTTTAATATTATTTTAAGACCGGTCAACTATTGGATCCGTCAGAAGCCCTTTACTCAGTAAAAAATTCATTCGGTCATTTATTAGACCCTCTGATTTTATCACAATCCAATTAATGACCGTATAATTATAATACTAACTTCTTAACTCCAAAATTAAATCTGTCAAGTGTTATATTTTATTATAAATAGTTATTAATTATTATTAATTAAGTATTTAACTTTAATAAAATTTATTACAAATTGTTTTTAGTAGGTTAATAGATTTTTTATAGCTTAGTACAGAAAAAGAAAACCTTAATCGGTCAATAATTGGTGCATTTACCCTACAAAATAATTAAAAAAAAAATTTCATTTGTAAAAAATTTCAAAAACTTTAAGTGCAATTTTGAAAAAATATTTTTTTAGTTTTATTTTTATGAATAAAATAAAATTAAAAAATTAAAAATGTCGGCTAATTCTAGTATCGTTTAAAAAGGCTTTATTTAATTGATCGTTTATTATTTTCCAGCAGTTACAGTAATTCAGGAACAACGAAAGTAATGAACGCGCCCCGAGAATATTACCCGATGAGTTATGACAAAAATTTCGACGACAATTTCGCAAGCAGAGTTGATTTACCGGATACGAGTTTTTACTGTGGAGATCAGAAGCATTTTCCGGGGCTGTATGCCGATGAAGATCTAGGCTGCATGGTATTCCATGTATGCGCGTTAACAGATCAAGGTTTAATAATGAAAAGTTTTCTGTGTCCTGAATCGACGCTCTTTGATCAGACAATTCTCAAATGCAACTGGTGGTTCTATGTCGACTGTAAATCATCAAAGAGTTTGTATGACAGCAACATTCCTATCAGTAAAAGCTACCAGCTGATGAAGGCACTGGCATTCTTTTCCGCTTACAAGAATCATGATAACGCGACAATGAGCGCTGAAAGCGGCTCTTGAGTTTGTTGTTAAATGTTTATTATTTTAAGACTTTTGAATTTTATCATTAGTCTTTGACGCTCAACAATAAACAATTAAGTTTTTTATTATTATTATTATTCTTATAATGTATATTGATAAATAGTTTGGTAAAAAGGTCGAAGATTTACTCAGCTTCAACTTACTGTACGATATTTAATTTATTTTACATTTAAGAGTGACACGTATTTTTAGATTGAATAATTTTATTTATTCAAATATTTGTAATATATTTATTGAGATAATTAATTGTATATTCAAAATTCATTGTATTGATTTTTTAACAATGTATTATTATTAACTGTAATTATTAGTTTATATATAAAAAATAGTTATATGGTTTTTTAGAATAATTTTAGACAGTAAATCTCTTTACAGGGTTGTTAAATGTTATTTTATAATAAAATTAGTAAAAAATGATAGCTATATAGTGAAGTTTATTTTTTTCATTAATTTTTTTATTATGTTCATTATTAATTAATTTATTAATACTTAGTTTATTAGTTAACAGCAATGTAGAGAATAATTTACCACACACGGTAAATTTATAATAGTACAGTTAGCCGACATTGTTAATTTTTGGAGTTATTTTTTAATTATTAAATTAGAATTAAATATTATTTTTAAAAAATTGCACTTATAGTTTTTGAAATTTTTTAAAATTTTTTTGTAATAATTTTAATAAAAAAAATTCTAAAAAATTTTAGATGTCGGCTAACTTAATTTTCATGTAAAATTTTGTAAATTCTTGCAATATTTCATATTATTATTTATACACTTATTAATTAATACAATTAATTTTAAAAAATTTGAAAAATTAGTGAAGACATAATTAAAGTAATTAGCGAATATACCGGTAAGAAAACTTCCATACTTATAAAATTGAACCACTAGAGGGTAGTATATGCCCCATTTCGCGCTTTCACTCCCTTTTTTTGCTTTCTTTCTTCCGCTTGATCTTTGCGCGTGATTTTTAAATATCTATACTTACTTTAATTTCATTCTTCCACTTTGCGGAATTTATTTAGAGTATTTTTAAGGAAATTAATAAAAATATAAGTAATTAATGAGTTTAAAAAATTTTTTTGCTCACTTTAAAGATTCTTTTAGACCTGAGTTCTGTCAAGTAAATTTTATTTAGTTGTTTTTACTTTAAAGAAATTTAATTACACTAAATTTAGCTGTCACTTGACAATTTTTTTAACAAACAAATTTATTCCAAAAATTAATTTTTAAAAAATTGCATTTTTAATTTTTCAAAATTTCTGCATGTTAATTTTTTTTTCTAATTTTTTAAAAAATTCTCAAAATTATAAAATATCTGCTACTTTAATTTTCATAAAAATTTGTGACATGATTGAGTGTACAACCTCTCTTATGGCTTTGTCTTTTTGTTTAAATAATAATATCAATAAGTATAAATTAAATAACAAATCATTTTGAAGAAATATTAACAAAATTGCTTGTACGCATTGGTTTTTTTTTTTTATAATAAAGAAATCAGCAGACTCCTAAAAAATTTTTATTTTTTTTTTCTTTTAAAAAATAAATTAATACTAAAAAAATATTTTTAGAAATAAATTATTTGTTTAAAAATTATTATATGTCTACTGTCAGTTTCATTTTTTTTTTATTGTGTAATGAAATTCCGTGTTTGACATGTTATTTCTTAAGTCACGGACAACTTCCTAAATTTGGTTATTTTCTAGTGATTTCTCGTGACTTTAGGAGCATGCCAGCTGGTATCAATAAGCACTCTGTTTTTTTTATCTACCCGAACAATTGTTTACATATTTTAAGTTTTCAATAATTAAAATACTTAATAATTTATAAGAAACAAAAATTTATTTTATATAATCAACATTCCAACATTTTTTATATACCAATTAAAAATCAACGAATAAATTGTTACAATAGTGATTACCAAAAAAGGATTTAATTTTGTTGTCAAATTTTACAGACATCAAAGATAATATATATTTATAATAAAAAGTTAAAATTGATCTATTAAATCAATTTTATAAACAGACACTTGAGTGATTAAAAAGGATTCATAATGGACGACATGCAAGAAGAGGTTAGTAATGGCATTTACTCGATTTGTTTACTCATAAATTTTATTATTAATTGTTATTTTTTTTACAGCCGCAATTTGTTGTCGATGATGTAAGTAAAATAATAAAAGAAGCTATTGAAGTAGCGATCGGTGGTGATGCCTACCACCAGAATAAAGTCGCTCAGTGGACATCTCACGTCGTTGAAAGTTGCTTAGGAAGTCTAACTAAATTACAAAAACCCTACAAATATATTGGTAATTTTTTTTTTTTATATTTATTGTTATTTTAACCCTTGGAGTACATACACTGGAGGTCATTCTGACCTCAGAATTTTTTATGACATAAAAGTTAGCAGTTACTTAACAATTTTTTAATTTTATTTAACAAAAAAATTTTTTTTTATCCTAAAATATTTCTCGGAAATAGGTTCGTTTTTAATTAATGTTTTCAACATTAACTGTTTAATTCGGAATAATAATAATAATAATAATAATAATAATAATTGTACTCGAAAGAAATAATCCTAAAGTTAGCCGACATTTTTTATTTTTTGATTTTTTTTAAATAATTAAATGAGAACAAAAAAAATATTATAAAAATTGCACTTACAGTTTTTTACAAATAACAACTTTTAAATGTCGGTTAACTCAATTTTTATATTGTTCTACCTACCAAAAATGTAATAACTTGAATTCCGATAAAATGCATAGTTTCTGAGATATAATTCTTCGAAAGTCAAGTGGAGTCAATTTGACTCCGTGTGTTCTATAATAATTAAGTTAGCCGAGATTTTTTATTTTTTGATTCTGTTTAATTTATTAAATTAGAACTAAAAAAACAATTTTTCAAATTTTTTACAAACGAAATTTAATTTCTTAAAATTTTTAAATGTCGGCTGACTTTATTGTCATGTGTGTACTCCGAGACTCAATAATTATTAAAATTAATACAAGTGCAATAATATATATATATATATATATATACGATAATTTTCAGTGACATGTACAATAATGCAAAAAAATGGAGCCGGATTACATACTGCAAGTTCATGTTTCTGGGACAACACATCCGATGGAAGTTGTACAGTTCGATGGGAAAATAAAACAATGTATTGCATAGTATCTGTCTTCGGTCTCGCAATTTAGATAATCTCTTAATAATTTAAAAAAAATTGTATTTGTCCTATGTTTTAAAATCGTCAGTCTTATTGTCAATTATTTTCAACAAAAATTATCCAAGTGTTGATGTTGACACTAACAAATTGACTAAAATTGTAATATTTTTATTTATTAACTCACATTTAATGTAAAAGTGCACAATTCATTTTAAAATTAACAAATCAAATATTGGACAGTCTTCTCTATTAAAATGTTTGTATTACTGCTTATAAAAATCAACTACTCATTTATTAATACAGTCTATTAAATTAATTACCAAGTATTGAGTTTCTGTAAGAAAGAAGCATATTTGGTGCAAGGATATTCTCAGAAAACTCATCGTCAATATAAAAGTCTTCAACAGCCCCATCAGCAATATCTATTTTTTTACTAATTTCTTTAGCTAACGGTGACTCAGTTTTAGTAATATTACTCCCATTATTTCTCAATTGACATAAAGCAGGCGGTAATGACCGTCTGCGAGATAAAGTTATTTCTGAGTAAGAAATATACTCATTATTTTTCTGTAAATGATCACCGAACAGCTCAAAATTATCCTTGTCATTACCAGACTTAAAATTTTTTTCCTTTAAATCATCAGAGTTGGAGTTAGAGTCATTGATCTTAAGTCTACCACTTTCAATTTTCTTCTCGTGTCTGGTAAATTCTACATACTCATGGCAAGTACGAATGGGAATTCCACACTGAAGAGCAGTTTGTACTTCAATCAAAGTTGGAGATGGACGTTGCTCAGAACTCTCTACAACCTGTTGATTTTTCAAATCTTCATCACTGTTACTGTAAAATTTTTCAATCTCCATTGTAAAAGTACCAGCACTAACAGACCTCTCTATCGGACGTATTTCTTCATCAACATTGTCATTCAATTTATAAAGCTCCTCAAAAACAGACTCTGGAGAGTGCAGAGCATCGTGAGGAGTTTCACCGAATTTTTCAAAGTCTTTGAAATTCTCAGACGACGTCAGCGACTGCGATGACGAATTATTTATATGAGTCGAAGACTTTACCAAATCAGTTACACGATCCAAAGTATCTTTGAGCGCTTGCAGTGATCCACAGCGTGGTATAGTATTAAGAGTTACATCAGTACCACCTTTATTAACAATTAGCTTTCGGTTTCCATTCTTATTACTCATAATAATCTCAGGAGAATTTTTAACCGTGAAAGTCTCATTACTGGAAGGCGAAGAATTTTTATTCTCCTCTAAAGAATCATAAAACTTAGTTCTTGAAGCGCATAGAGACCTCTCTTTGCTCCAAAGTGACGATTCAAAAAAACTCTGAGAGTTGTTGTTCAAAATTTGAGGCTGTATTACAGCGTTTCTTATCGGAGGTGGTACGCAAGAGTAAGGCGACCTGGGAGTTTTTCTAGGTGTTACTTTAGACAAAATTGAGTGCTCGGTGGACGAATTCATCTTGGGCTCAATACTGGTCTTGTGACTTGCTGGTTTATAGGGCTCGTAGTCTTTGCTTGCTCCCTGGTTTATTATTTGTGCCCTTGTGGCTTGATATCTTTGGAATGGATTATTGTTAATTTGTGAAATGTCAGTTGTGAAGAATGAGTTTCGTCGATCGGCTAAGACTTGTTTTAATCTCGCTCGATCAAGCCTAGGCTCTTCTATCGTGTCTTCCGGTATTGAGTCGTCTATAGTTACTTTATAAGTCGGTCTGCGTGGTAGAACTGGGGTCTGTTGGAATTCACGGGTGAAAATTACTTCAGAATTATCATTGCAATCAATACTTTGAGTGCTTGAACTATTGAATGACTGATCTTGGACATTTTCATTATTTTCAAATAGTTTGCGTGATTCTAATTTTTTTTTAGACACAGGAGTAGTTTGTTGAGGTGAAAAATTTTTATCAACTGGCGTTTTTTGTTGTAGTGAAGTTAAATTTCTTTCTTTAATTACTGGAGTTTTTTGATGGGTCAGTGGAGTATATTGTTTAGTCAATGGAGTTTTTTGTTGGATCAACGGAGTTCTTTGATGAACTTGGTTTTTTCGTGAAATTGCCGTAGGAGTTTTCTGTTGAACTGAAATTTTTTCTGGAGATTTCAGCTGATTAACTGAAATTTTTTGCGCGTCAGGTGTTTTAAGATTAACAATTACTTGTTGCGGATTATTCGAAGTAATTGATATAGACCGAAGATTATTTGGTGAGATATTGGAAGTAATTATCGAAGATTCAGACAAATAACTGTAATCATTAATTGTATTGGTATTAACCAAAGACTGATCAACATAAAGCGGCTTTTGGTTTTCGTACTGCATCTCAAGTCTCTGCAAATACCGGCTCATCTTCATCATATCAAATGTCCTTTTGTTAACGTCCAATTGCAATCCAGTTTCCAGTAAATTTTGAAGCTGGGGAGGAAAGTGACTATTACGAGTCATTATACCTCGCTTTAATTGAAGATACTGATGTTCAAGCTCTTCTTTATTTAAATCCGCCCAAGGTTCACTCATCGTAGCCATTTCCCAGACAAGTAGCGCCAGTCCATAAACATCAGTAGCCGTGGTGGGTTTCTGACGGTTAAAAAGCTCTGGTGCTTGCCATCTAAATATCTCAGCTCTCAAGCAATCTTCATACTTGCGTGCATCGACAGTAATCTGGAATTAATTTGTTTTTAAATTACTAAGTCAACATCATCAATAAAAGCATTCAATATTCATCGATAGTCATAAAATAAATAATCAACTTACTTTATTAATATCTACAGCAAGCTCCCAGCCACCGAGCTTGATAACTCCATTTGATGTCAGGAAGACAGAGTGTGAATTAATAGCAGAATGAACGTATCCTCGCATGTGGACGTACTTCAAAGCTGCGGCGAGCTGTTCTGTGTTTTTAACGATCTCTTGGATAGGAATCTGTTGAAACTGCTCGTGGAGATAGTGGTGGAGTGTACAATCAATCGGTTCACAAACAGCAGCGATATTGTGATGAACAGTGTGCGTTGTACCCATCAGTAGCACAATATTTGGATGCCTTATTTCACTGAGAATTTTTATGTCAGCTTTTATAGCATTCTTACACTCACCATTTAGATGTCTGCGTAATGAGACTTTTACATTATGCCACTCGGCGTATAACACCTCAATGTTGTGGTCCTCGGTACCAGCTACCCAGCCTATTTCAAATATTTCTGACGGAGATGCGTATGGAATTTCACAGATTGTCACCAAGTCCGATGAAAATTCACTCTCATCAATATTCTTGGCTGTGTTTTCGTAGTTTTTTTTCCACAAAATTGATGTGTTATCTGTACGGCCTTTTTCTGGGGTATTGTTGATGAATCCTGGATCCGCTGGATTGCGACGGCGGTCCAAAAATGCTTGGAATGCTGTACGGTAAGCATCACTATTGAAAAAAAAAAAAAAAAATAAATAAAATTAAGTTAGTAAAAATAATTAACCAATAAAATTTTTTATGTCACAAATTTATGAAAATAAAGTTAGCCGACATCTAAAAATTTTTATAATTTTTTTTATTAAAAAAATGATTAAAAAAAAATTTTTCAATTGTAAAAAAGTTTAAAAACTACCTATAAGTGCAATTTTTTAAAAATAATTTTTAGTTCTAATGTAATAAATTAAGCAAAATCAAAAAATCAAAAATGTCAGCTACCTTTATTATAACCAAAAATTTACATGAATTTTAATTAATTTATTTATTAATCAGGTGTACAATTTTTTTTTTTTTTACCTCTGACTCTGTTTATTTCTAACACGGATTGATGTTCTAATAATATAAGTCCGTCGGCGTGAAGTTTTTTTTCTCAAACGATTGTTATAACAATAATTATATTCATTGGAAGAATATGACAGCAAAGAAGATAGTGATGAAGATGAATCATAATCTGATGAAGTGTCAATTGAATTTATCAGCTCGTCAATTAAATCAGGCATGATTATTTTATTAATTATTTACTTTCATCGTCAAAAATAATTAATTACGAGCGACAAATATTTTGACATTTGCACATGTTACATTTTAACGGTTAATTACTAAGTGATACTAAAGTTCATAGATGGCGACAAATTTTCTTTTTTGTAGGTCTGTATTAAAGGGTTCGCAATCCCGCCGTTTTCCATTTTCATTAAATGGCGTCTAATGGTCGAACGCGTAAAATAAGTTCGTGTCATGCTTGAGTCACTAGCCCTTATTTGTTTGTTGATTGATGAATGATGATAATCGTAGATTATTAATAAGAGCATTTTGATATTTATTTTTTTACTTTTTTTTTGTCAAAGATTTATTTTTTCGTTAATATTTAATTCCATCATTTAAAACTAATCATTATATGACACTGAAGTTAGCAGACGTCTAAAAATTTTTGATTTTTTTTTATTAATTAAATTACAACTAAAAAGGTATTTCTAAAAAAATCCACTTATAGTATTTCAAGTTTTTTACATGTGAATTTTTTTTATTTAATTGTTTAATTGAAATTTTTTCAATAAAAAATTTACAAAAATTTTGAAATGTCAGCTAACTTCATTTTCATATCATTATTTCTTATTAATATTGTTATTATCATCTTTGACGTTACAGTAGAATCTGATTGTTGAGATATGAAATAATAAAAAGTATCTTTTTATTATCAAAAATAATTATTAATAAGATTTTAAAGTAATAAATAATTTATAATAATTTTTTCGGTATTAGAAAATTAAAAAATTATGATAGTGAAATTAAAAGACATTTTAGGATTAAAATAAATTTTTTTACAAATAATTTGTCTGAAAAATTTCGCAAAAATATATTTTTTTTAATTATTTTTTAAAACTAATTTATTTGTTAAGTAAAATTAAAAATAGTTAATTATCTGTTTTGATTTCAGAGTTATGAAAAATTTCAATTGCTAAAAGTGCCAGTCATTAATTATTGTTGTTTAATAAAAATAATTAATCTCAATTTAAGAAATTTTTTTAACAAATCAATTACAATAAAAAAAAAGCTTCTAAAAATTTTCACTTGTAATTTTTATTAATTTTCACATGTGGAACTTTTTAATTAATTTTTAATAATAATTTAATTACTATAAAATTCTAAAAAAAATTTTTTAATGTCTGTCAACTTCAGTGTCATAATTGTTTCATTGAAAAAAAAAATAGTTTAAACTGATCAATCATACATGTCGTCAATAATGTTTAAATCAACAAACAAATAATGTAATTTAACTAGAAAGGTGTGCCAATTTTTTACGAATAAATTTCCGGTGATTTGTGATGTGAGTTAATTATTTATTCAGTGAATTAGATAATACGCTTTTATGTTTTTATTGATAGTTAGTTCTTAAAAATAAATAAAATGAAAATAAAAGAAATACGTACTTGTTAAGACCAGACAATTTCGGTGGCAAACTTTGACGACTTCTATCTCTTTGAATCATGTCTCTACGATAGGTAAAAAAAATTTATTATCAATTATGTACACGTTTATAGATATTCTATTCTATATATAAATTTATGTAATATATTTTTTGTTAATGTTTTAGCGGAAAAATTGGCAGAGGAATTTTAGCTAGTAAATCAACAATTGTTCGATCGACAGTAAGTATATAATATGTATACAAGCATATTGTACAGGATTCGTCGATTTATTTCATCATCCTGTCTATTCAAAACTCACTTCCTGACATTAATTGTGTAATTTTACAGAAACGGAAGCTTCAATGTTTGATTTGTATTATAAAATTCAAAATACTTTCAACGAATTGGAAACAGCAAGTAAGAGTGAGTAACATCAATTTTATTTATCATTATTATTGCAAGAATTCAATATATACATCAGCATAAAATAGTTTTATATTATTGCCGTTTAAATAACACCAAGCGATTCTTTTACTGTTTAAACGTTCGGATCGACCGATAATTTGTTAACATTTTAGTAGTTTGCAATGTCCAAAATAGTTTTGTTAGGGTCTCTGAGATTTCCCCGGAAGAAAAAAGCAATATTAAGCAGGTCTAGTTAAACCTCCAGCTGTTGCCTGATGGGCAATGAGAGGATTAGAGTTGTAAAGATGGATTATTGGAGACAATGAAAAGGATATTACTTTACTATTACTAGGTAGACAAGTGTTCATCCGTAGGTAAATTGAGATTTATACAAGAAAGTGAGTTTTAGCTTATAATAGCATTGAAGATGTACTCATTCTACGAACCGTAAATACCCAAAAATTAAACTTGAAGTATACAATTGTTGACCAACGACCATGACATTCACTTTTACCGTTTAATACCTATATACTTCCTTTACTTAGTATATTGTTTTACTTTTCAGGTAGATTCGTCTATTTTTCACTTAATATATTTATTTTATTTTTGTTAAATTTATCAACTAATTATTTACTTGAATTTTCTTTTTAAAATTTTCACTATTTAAATATTAATAATTAATTAATTAGTTAAATATTAATATTTTTTTTTTTTTGGAGTCTTACGCGTCAGCCTTCTGGCCTAGACACGTGGGATTTTTACGTCCCTTCCTACTATTTATTGAGTTTGATGTGCCGAACTACACATCTTAACCTCCTATCCGCGGCTGTGGTCGTCTTACAGTCTGTACCCGCATTTGCCTGTGCCCCACCCTTAGCACAGTGACCGAGGAAACCACAGAAACCTGGCCAGGATACAGTCGGCAAGGGAGCAAGCCTTGGAAATCGCAGAAAAATTGCGACTGCCAGGGCTCGAACCCACGCCTGAGCGACTGTTGAACGGGCAGTTCAAGACTTAAACCGCTCGGCCACGCAGCCGCTTTAATATTAATATTAAATAATAATATTATATCCACATTTATTTTATTTAAAAATATTTTTTGCTCCAAAAAAAAATTTATTTATTAATTGATAAATTCTTACCGTCTAAACCATTTGAATACACCAGTCATTCCCATTCCTTTGATAAAGCACTATTAACAATTAATTTACAATTAATAAATTAAAAAAAAAAATAATAAAACTTCTAGAAAGAAGTAAAATTTCGAGTTAACATTAATAATATAACACAAATTAAAAATAACTACGAATATCAAAATATTCGTACAGGTTTGCCACGTGGATTCTTAACACAAACTGAAAAGCAGATTTTGCTACGAACCGACCTGCACTGACTAGTTTACTCATCGTCAACAATACTATTGACCCCCTCCAATTCATAATATGAATTACTCTAGGTACTGGGTTGGTACAGTTGTAGGGAACTCAATTATACTTAACTTTCTCTCTTTTCCGGCTTTACCTTTCGCCATCTATTAACAAATTTAACATAAAAACTACTTAGGTGCTATAGTAAGGTGTAGGTTATTCTGAACTTTAATAATTTAAACTAAACAAAAGAATAAATAAATAATAAAAATTATATAAAGTCATTAAATTTAAATTAATTATTAAAATTGATGTAATTCATTGTTAAAGTAGCTTGTCTGGGTTTAAATCAACGTTCTTTAAACCGGAATGCTATGAATTTCCTCAAGACTTGTAATGTGAGGATGTGAGAGTTTTTTTTTTACGCAATAAATTTATTTAATAGATGACAATTAGATGGATGATAAGTACACACATAACGAGACTTGTTGACTGACAATAAAAGTGTGTTAATAAATATTCATAATTTATATATTTTATTTTGTATAGACGTTTAATTATTTACATAATCATAAATGATAAACTTTAAAAGGAAATTGGCAAAAAATTAAAAACTTTAAATTTTCTACAGTAGTTTTGCATTTAAATATTTTAATTAAATTGCTAAAAAAAAAATTTGGCACAGAAAATGATCGCTGATGAGATTGAAGAGATTAAAAAAAAAAAAACAAGCCCATAAATCTTGCTTAGGGTGCTTTCATTTCTTGCTTTAAACAGTATTTAAAAGCTTCCCATCCTTCGCCCCTTGGTTGAGTCTGAAAAAAAATCAATTAATTTATTTATTCGTTTCCACTTTAATTTTATTAGCTAGTTTCTTTTTTTTTTTTTTTTTTTATTTTATACTTACTTTAAAGCCGCGGTGCAAGCGATCTTTCATTATCGCGATAAACTCCTTGTAAGACAGCTCTCCATCACCATCAGTGTCAAATAATGCAAATACTGTTTCTATCATATGCATTGGAATAATTGTTCCAGTGCAAATCCTTACTGCGCGGTGAAATTCGTCTAAAATAATAAAATTATTGTAATTTTAAAAATTTTAAATATTTAACTTTACTAGAAAATCGAGCGCGCTTTGCGCGCTTCAGTCAATATTTTTATTATCGAAAATTTGATTAATTAAGATTTTTACAAATTGTATTCATTAATATTTAACTATTGCCACACAGAAAAAAAAATTTACTTGAATCAAGTAAATAATCTTGAAGAATTTTATCTTCTTGATTTGAGTAGAAAAATTCTTAAAATAAGAAATTTTTTTTGGTTTAAGTAAATTTTACTTGATTCAAGAATTTTGTCTTGATTCAAGACAATGCAACTTTTCAAAGTTATTTTCTTGGTTTAAGAATCTTTCTTTTGATTCAATTAAATTTTTTTTTCTGTGCATAGTAACCATTGCTATGGTAACCGTTGCTATGGTAACCGTTTCCAAAGTGGTTACCGTAGCAACGAAAAGCGACAACAATAAAAACGTCACATCAACTCGGCTGCCCAATTGAGTAGAAAAATTCTTAAAATAAGAAATTTTTTTTGGTTTAAGTAAATTTTACTTGATTCAAGAATTTTGTCTTGATTCAAGACAATGCAACTTTTCAAAGTTATTTTCTTGGTTTAAGAATTTTTCTTTTGATTCAATTAAATTTTTTTTTCTGTGCATAGTAACCATTGCTATGGTAACCGTTGCTATGGTAACCGTTTCCAAAGTGGTTACCGTAGCAACGAAAAGCGACAACAATAAAAACGTCACATCAACTCGGCTGCCCAATTTTAAAACACAGTAACTGCAAAATTTTTATACCTAATTTTTTCTAGTATTGCTGGATTTTTTTACAACTTTTAAACCTCAATTTCAAGTATTTTTTCTTAAAAATATTTATATTAAAGTATTTTCTACTTTCAAATAAAATTTTTCATCAATTTGATGGGCAAATTTTTTTTTAATAAGAAAAATTGAAAAAAATTTTTAAATGTTAGTTACTGTGTTTTAAAATTGGTCAGCTGTAACTTTTTAATAAAATATTTGAAATCTGAATAAAAATAAATTTTTATACCAAATTTAATTTTAAAAATTTTATACTTGGACATTTTTAAAAAATAAAAAAAATTACCCTTAGAAATCGGATGATCAGCAAGCGTATACATTCTCATAGCAATTGCAAAGTCATCCAAAGAATTTAAAAACTGATAAAAAAGTCTAAACTCCGGAAAGTTAATGTCTTCATGACGTTCTGGGTTTTCTAATAATCTACCTAAATATTTGTCATACCTAGAACATGAAAAATAACGTCATTAGACTTGAATAATAGTAGATTTTTTTCTAAATAATTATAATAAAAAAAAACTTACTCATCAGTATCCAAATCCGTGTAGCGCAGCAAAATTTTAGCAAAGTCCAATGCCGAAATAGTATCACTTCCCTTTGAAAATTCTTGAAACTCAATTTCCAGTACTTCATGCTGTAAATTCTCCATAAATTGTCTAAACCCATCATACTTGAGTTCCTTGGTCCCATCTTTTCCAAAGAAATGAATCATAATTGTCGTATCTACCGCGTGCCTTCGTTGCAGTCCCTAGATAATTATTTATCATAACAGAACACATTAAAAATAAATTAAAAGTAATTTTGTAGCAATAACTTTAAGTTAAAAAAATAAAAAATAAATTACCTCATCTTCTCTAGGCGTCTCACCAACAAAATTATCATTGCCGGGAACTTTATCCTTATTAGTATTTTGATCATGACCACCGTGTCTTCCTTTCCACGCATAACTAAAAATTTTCTCCATCTATCACCACAAACGTAAAATAAAAATACATTAATAATAAATGAGCGTTAAGTTTTAATTGATAATAAATTAATAATTTTATTACGGAGGCATTAGAGCTAAGAAATAAAATTAATTAGTAAATTATAAAATAAGAGGATTAAATACATATAAAAGGTTTTAAGTAATAAAGTACAATAAGGTTGGGATTGGTCCATCAGAATTATTTTAGCAGCTATTTAAATAAACTAATAAAGTGTTAAATTTGCATTTGCATACATAGATGATAGAGTTTGTTGATGATATGTGTATGATGAACTTACATATGAACTTGATGAGATACTTTGACTCTTTGATGAATTATTATCATGGTTGTCTCGCAGTATTGTTTTCGTGGCAAGTGTCATCTCTTCGCTCGGGGTAACTAGTTTTTGCAGCTGATTTTTTTGAATAAAGCAAACATAATTAAAATAAACTTTTTATATTGCTGTTGCTTAACTACATTTCAAGTGAAGTAAAACAAAATAAAATAAAAAAAAATAAATATGTGTAGTTAAGTTTCAAACAAATAAAACAAATAAAAAAACCAAATGTTAGTATGTATATAAAGCATGTGTGTGATAGCTAATATATTTTATAAAAACAAAGGAAAAAGGATGTGGAGTGCTAATGCATTTCAAAGTGTTTCTATAAATTAATTTTAAATCAACAGTAATACAAAATTAATTAATTAATTTTAATTAATGCGTATAGTTGTTAATTTTTTGTATTCAGTGTCAATTAAATTGATCAGACATTCGTCTATAAGCATTAATTGGTAATTTGAAAATTAATAGTTAGTAATTAACAATAATAACTAATAATTAAATATGTTAATTATTGATACGTCAATTAATAGCTGTTTATAATTTAGCAAACGTATAGTCTTGATTATTAAACAAGTGAAAGTTTTAATTTATAATTAAAGTGATCAATCGGACATACACGTAAAAACACAGCAGATGATTAGAAATTATAAGGCTCCAGCATCTTCAAAAGCAAAAATCCGATTTCCTTCGTAGCGTCATCTAATCTATATATATAAATTTACTTAGATTGTGATAAAATATACACAAGTGTTAATTATATAAATTTTTTTAAATTTATATTATATTATATTATATCATTATGTTCACATTGCGAAGCGTTTGGAATTCCGCGGCTTCAACTCACGACTCGTTCAGTTGCCTCATGGAGCTGACGATTTCTTATTCCGGAACCGAACAGCTTCCTCATCTGTGAAAAAATTTATTTCATGCAAAGACTAATGTCAATGGTGGTCCCTCCCACTATTTGTTCGTTTCTTTTATTGGTATAATGAATGTAATGTATCCGTGAATTTTGTTTTATAAAATGTCTAAATATAAAAAAATAGAAGCTTTGATTTCAAAGGGATATTATTAAAAAATTCAGTCTTAATTGAATGATAATTTAATAAATTAAATAAAATGCACTAAAAATAGGAACCGTTTGAGTGCAATTTTTTTTTTACGTTCATCTTACCACAAGGAACTCGTCTTTGTCGACTATTTCATTTCCATCGGTATCAAACATATTGAAGGCGATTCGGAATCCAGTTTGTGGTTCTGTAAGATTAAAATTATTTATTAAATTTTATATATATATTTAGATTGAAATTTAATGATAAATTCTTTTTTGTTTATATTGAATATTATTTTTTACACTTAAAATTAAATCGGTAATTGTAAATTGCGTTTTTTTTTATTGAAAAAATTAAATTGTATTCTAAAGAATGTCGAGTTGTTTTATTTTAAAATTTATTTTCAATAAATTTGATCGGTTTATTTTTAAAAGCATCAATTTAATTATTTTTTCAATTTTTTTTTTTATTAAAATTAAAACAATATTTATAATTAAAAATTTAATCAATAATTAGTAAGTTATTACTTCTTTTGAAGAAATTAATTACAACAATTAAATGTACATAATAAATATTTTGTATTTTGATGTGACGATTTGATCAAAAGCTACAGCCGTCGGGATTCAAGTAATTTAATAGATGCTGATATATATAAATTTATAATTCTAGTCGCGATGAAATCTTAATTATTACAAGAAAACTAATTTGCGGAATAAATTTATCGCGGGAATTATAATGATATTATGAAGCCTAATACATAATAAAAATAACTATGAAATGTATATTTATTAAACATTAAATCTAAATAAAGATATGATAAAGTTAAAAAGACAATTCAAATATTATAGAGATGTGTATAAGTATATATATAAGCCCGCTTTATAAAACACACAAGAAGGATCTTTTCACAAAGATAAATGTACACACAAACGGGTTTTAATATCAGGGTATAGGAAATACGTTAACCGATGTGTCTCGAAGTTTGTTTAGCGCAGTAATTTACGCTATAAATTAACTATAGAATACTGTACTCTTAAGATACTTACTTGTGAGTATAGACAGTAGAAACAGGTACTCCGTGTAAGAAATTATTCCTGAAACCGAGCAAAAAATAATATATATTAAAACCAAAAAGAATATCTTAAACTAAACGATCCATCTAAAAAAAAATAAAAAATACTTGTTAATTTCTTACACTCGCAATAAATTGCTGAGTAAGGTCATATTTAAAGATCACGTCTACCCGCAATGATTTTTCTACCAGCTCAATAAACTCGTTGCACTCTACTTATATTATTATACTGCTGGCTCTATATCTATCTTAATAAAATTATAGACATACATCCTCCAATCTCATACTCATATGATACTGTACTCCCTGTTTATTTACATTTGATGTCTCTATGACACGTCGTCGTATATGGAATAAAATTAAACAAAATAATATCCATTTTCTGCTGATTCTTGACATGTGTTTTGATATATATCCGCATATGCTTTTACTCTTCACTGTCCTCCTTGTACTGTGTCTATGTTTAATACTGATCTCTACTCTCTTTGAGGTCGTCAAATCATCAATCACTTTCGCAGATGTCGTACGTCTATGTGATATGTCTTACTTTCAATCTAGTTGACGAGTTGTAACGTTGATTTAACCACCATAAACAGTCTTAGCTCATAAATTTATCATGTATGTGTCTATGATTTATTATAAATAAATAAATCAGCACTCGGGCAGTCGTCAATCCTTCTAAAGTTTTACACAACGTGTAATTTAAAGCTAGATTTTTTTTTTTGTTTAATTATTAGTATGTATTCTGATTCACTCGGCGGTGATTTATGTTTTCTTGATATTCAATTTTTTGTTTGATTTTAAAGAAAGTATTGTAAAAATTAAAAATTTAAAAGATGTTTAATTGATGTAAAAAATTATTTACTTCTTAAAATCTTAATCACGCCCAGAAAATGTAAATAAAATTTGGTCACAGAAATTCAGGACAATAATTTCAAACTACGGATTAATTCTAGTTGAAAATTTCGTCCTTTTATTAGAACTTTCTCAGAATACTAACAAACTCTTAGTTGGTGCGTAATTATTCTGTGATAATTGGTAGAAAAATTTAAGATGTCAATTGTTGTAAAAAAATTTTATAATATGCATAATAATACTTTATATGTTTCAACAATAATAAATTTTAAACTGTAACCTAGTATGATTAAGGTATAATTGTACTACGAAATTTTTTATAGATATTTTTGTGTACAAAGGTTACAATTTTTATATTTATTTGTAGTTGCTGAAGAAGTCCTAATAAAAGGACAAAACGTCCTGAATTCTTGTGACCAAATTTTAAGTTATTTTATTACTTTCAGAAGTCAAAAAAAAAAAACAAGATTACTAATAATATTATTTTTAAATAAAATTTCGTAGATTTTTATTTTAAAATTGAGAAATTTTATAATTTTTATTGATTTTATAAAAAATTATTATAAAAATTAAAGTATTTTTTTTTAAAGCTTTTAATTTTAATATCAAGCAATTTTTAATGTTAGACTTTTAAATTAAAAAAATAATTTCACTAAAATTTTTATTTTAAAAATCATGAATGAGTTAATTTATGAAAAAATAATTATTATCTAAATCAAATAAAATTGACTTATAATTAGAATCTTACATAAACAATCAATGTCTGATGACTATGCTTAAAAACTGGTACTTAATGAGTTTTTTATTATAAAAGGATGTTATTGTTAACACCTACCTTTGTCTTTGAGATTCCTAAACATGTGAGAATTCCCTCTTTGCAATAAAGGCGTTGTATTTTTAATCATTTCAATATCTTTGTTAGCAAGAATTCTTCGTTTATATCTAGCTAAAAATATATAAAAATTATTTTTACTTCAAGGTTTACGGTTTTACTTTTTTATAAATTTTATCGTCAACTATGACACGAGTAAGAGATTTAATGAATCGCGGGAGAAATAAACAATAAAACAACTTACGTCTTGGTTCAGGCTCGATTATACTGTCGAGAAAATCTTGAGGTGTCATATAAAGCTGGCCATTGAATTCAACTGACGCAAATTTGATAAATCTTCGTTCTCTCATAGTCAATTTAACCGCCTTGGGAAAATCATCTTCTTGCTAGAAAGAATTTAAATTTAATTGCTTTTTGTTTATATATAATTTCTTATTAATCAGTAATCTCGGTACTCGATGTAATAATAATAATAAATAAGGAAACAGGATAATAGCAACAATAATAAATTTTTATATAACAGTATAGTAGATTTATGTGTAATTAAAAAAAATTTTCATATGATGTATGATTTATGATTAACGTCAAATAAAAATTATACCTATTAAATTCAAGGTGAAAGGTCGGGATATTTTTGATAAATTATAATAAAATAGATAAATAATCCATTTAAAGCTAGAAAAAAAATCTTCTCGCAAGCGGTCTTGTTACAGTACGTTTGAATATAACAAAAATCACTGTCAGGTGGAGATGTTTCTTCAAGCCGCACGGCGGAGCCACCAACAGGGTTTACATAACTCATAGTAGCTCTGAGGAAGGTCCCTGGATCCCTGGCAGAAAGTGTCGTAGTTTAAGACTACTAGCCTCCACTGCTTCTCAATACAAGATGGGACGCTTAATTCCTGGGATTTGTTTCTCAGGTTGCTGATCTTTGAGATTGGTGTGAGTGTATTGGTCAAAGTTAAAGTGATGTGCGTTGATCGATTTATCGACAACTCAACAGGGCCTACTGCGAAGAAACTTCTTTTTACACACTTTATAAAATAAATTAAAAAAATTTATGGACAATTAAATTTATTAAAAAATCCAACGGGAACATTAAATTTTATTGTAAAAAAATTTATTAGATAAAAATAATTATTTTTTGGGTAAAATTAGAGGAAAAATTTTTAATCTTAAATTCCGGGCTCCAATTTAATTTTATTAACGATAATAATTTATAAAAGTCTAAAAAATTTTTATTACTACATTCGGCCTTGTGGTATTTAATTTTTTATTAATTTATTTTTTATTTAAAAAATATTTTCACAAAGTTAAAATAGTAGTAGTTTTATTTTAAAAAATTATAATAAAGATTTTTTTTAAATTCGTTAATGTGTTTTTCGCGTAAACGTGTTACGTGCGTTGAAATTGAATTTAAACACGCACGGAAGCGCCAGTTTGGTTGTCGAAACGATCGCTCTGGGAGCTAACGAGCGCACCGAGGGGCGCCAACATATAACATATAAAAGACATAACACCACACGGTGAGATCAAATATAATAATAAAACTCGACCAACAAATAATGCAAAATATTCCGAAAACTCGTTGGTATAAGAGACAACAGTTGGTAACGAAGTCGCACAAGGTTAATGGGAGTTATTTATGATTACCAAAGTCAATAAATATTTTTTTCCTTTTTCTATGACAACAGACAAATTATTATATATTAATTATTATAAAAAACATCCACGAATTTATAATTTCTCTTTTTTATAATTTAAATATCAAGATAACACGTGTATTTTAGCAACCCCCGCCGACTAATGAATAAATTGCTATCTTGTCTCTTGTCTTTTCAACTTATGTAGAATCCATTCTATGCCCAATACATACATAGCAATTCTTACTACGAGTACCAGACCATCAGCTATCAATTCATAAAAATAACTTTAGAATTACCAGAAACACTCAAATTCCCGGAAACGGTCGAAAATTATTAAAAAATTTCACAGAATAGTGAAAAAAAAAAAAAAAGGACATATTTAAAACGCCTCAAAAATTTTTAGGTGTCTAGAATAAAAATGAAATGAATGTCCAATAAATAAAAACCGTCACCCGATGAGTCAAAACACTTGTTCTTTAATAGATAAAAAATAAATTATAGCGATAATGATAATGGTAATAATATATATTAGTGATTTTCTTAAAGTGGAAATTATTGACATGGGTGGTCCGTTATTTATTTTTAATCACCCACGTTACTTGAATTATATCTCTGAGATGAAATCGTATCAATGGTAATCGAATGTACGTGTAATACATTAACATACGTATATATGTGCTATAGAAATAACTTTAAACGGCTTGATGCCGCTGATAAAATCAACCCTCTCAATCCGACACAGGCGTTGTTTCACTTGACTTTGGTGCTGTTGAGCGTGAGGCCACTGGCATGGGCTACTTTTTACGGTTCTCTTACAACCTAACATACCTTACCTTGATCACACTTTACTTACACCTTTATTGAACGGACACCAAAACAATGACGGGTGACAACTGACTCTAAATAATTGTTCCCTGGATAACAATCTCAATCCATTTACTTTACTTCTACTTCCAAGGCCTTTTATTCCTTTTTCGAGCTATATATAAGTTACTAACGCGTTTTTTTTGTAACACGTGCTCAAAGGATACTCCGTGACTTTTAAGTTCATCAATTTTAATCTGATTTAACGCAATAATAATAATATTAATTTAATTTTGTGAAGTAAAGGTCTTATATTTTTAATAAAAAAATGAAAAATACGTAATTTTTAATTTTATAAAAAGATTTTTTTTTTTTTATTTAAAAAATAGTTTGCAGGTTTATTGAAAAAATTTTAACAAAAATATGTAATTAGTGATTTAAAAAAATTTATTCTTATAAAAAATTTTTTAATTTTGATTTTTTTAATACTAAAAAAAAATTTTTTTGAATTTTTTAAAGAAGTTTCTACATACTATTCTAAATAAAATTTTTTTAAAAATAACCAAAATAATATCGTAATAATATACACAGAAAAAAAAATGTTCTGGAATCAAGTATATAATTTTGAAGAACTTAATCTTCTTGATACGAGTAGAAAAATTCTTGATTTAAGGAAATTTTACTTTATTCAGAACAATTACTCTCTTCAAAATTATTTTCTTGGTTCAAAAATTTTTCTCTCGAATCAAGTTAATTTTTTTTTTCAGTGTAATTATTATTCGTACACTGTTTTGTTAAAACTAAAGTATTATTCACGGTAAATTTTTCACCTCTATTCTTATTTTAAATACTAAATTTATTAAATAAAAATAATTAATTTCTATTTCATACTTTAAGATTTTAAAATTTATCGTCCGACTAATTGGCCGTATAACCGTCGAAATAAATAAGTTTTAGTATTCTAATCAGCCGTGAAATTAACAAATTGCAGAGAGAATTTAGAGTTAAAAAAAAACAACCTCAAGTATATTTTTATTACTCCATTTGTTTTTCATTATTGTAATGATAAATCAAACAAAAATAGTAAGAATAATTGAATATTTGAAAGGGTAATGAATTTAAAAAAGCACCTTTGGCGATTCGGGATGTTCCATTCAAACGTTAATATAATATATAATATTTGCCATTATAATATAAATTTTGCGTGTGGTTACTCTGTATAGTGTGAGATTATTCATCGGTATTATAAATAATGACTTGGATTTGCTTGGGTACGTACATACATACTTCTATACATATATATGAATATATACGCGCCTCATTTTAAATATTTAAGTGTGAACGTGATAACTCGATAATATAACTCAAAATATTTATAATAACGATTTATTTAAATTGATTCCTTTATAAAAATTCCTCCACAGCACTTAATAATATTTTGTTACACTAAATTATACACCCGATACATGTATCATATATATTTCAATCAATTGCCTCGTTTAGCTTTTTTTAAAGAAAGAGAAAGAGAAATAAAAAAAAACAATTTATACATACGGAGCCTTTAGGGCTGGAATTTTTAGTAATCCGATAATCACAGGTCCAAGTAAGATTTATTGTCGTGTATGCAAATCGCTCTTTGATCTCAAAGATTTTTTATTAATTTTTTATCTGAATTTTTATTTAAGTTAACTGGAGATATTTTTTATTAATGAACAAGATAGTGAAGATGAAGATTTCCTTGGGGATTATAAAATATAAAAGTATCATTCAAGATCCATTAGTCACTTCAGCGGCTCGTCAAGTTTAAACTCGGTAATAAAGACGATGCTTGAGTAATGTTAAATGATAATATAAAATATATTTACACGTTACCAAGTGCTAGATACATTAATTTAAAGCCGTATGCATGAAAGTACTTACATGTACATATACATTATATGATGCACAAGGATGAAAATTGAATTGCTATGTCATCAGAATATATTTAATTTATTTAATCGGAGTAATGTACGATGTTATTTACTTGTAAACTGTCAACGTCTCTTACATGCGATTTATAATGAAGGCAATATTTTTATTGCTGACAATAGACACCGTGTCAACTTCATTATACACATTTTTAAGTGTATCATTAATTTAAATATTATATCTTCTTATCAATTATTTATTTCGCCATTTATTAATTTTTTAATTAGTATTACTTTTAGCCTCCACTCATTTAAGTGTTGACAGTATGAAATTTAAGTAATTAATTAATAATACAGAGTGTAGTAAAAAAAATGAAAAAATTAGAGTTTAAATTGCATCACAAGTGGGCTTTTTCTGGCGTAAATCGATGATGGAACAAAATTAAAAAACAAGAGTGAATAAAAAAGGGTAAAGTGCCTTATCGATTGGCCTGAAAGAGGCTTAAACGAGAATGAGTAGAGCAAGTTAAGAGTGAGAAAGGGTGGACGTACGCTCCCGCACCCGGAGGCGTCGAAAACTGGTAAACTCTCTGGCTTGTCGAGACATGTTAAAAAAAGATTCAAAAAGAAATAAATGAGCGTGAATAAAAGATTTGCGATTTGTTAAATACAAAGATGCTACACTGGACACTGGCGTCTCGCGAGTGTCTGCGATCGCTAACTTGGTCCCATTCCATATTATACAGGCTCTTGTATACAAGAGTCTTGTTCTTGGTATATAAGTATAAGTACAGGTACTGTACGGGTTGTACCTGGTTCACTTGCACTGATAAAGAGTCCCGTGTTTTCGTTGTTCATGCTCTTTTTTTTTTTCGTCTTTTTATTTCCTTAAATAACACTTGATTGTGTGTCGTCAAAGCACAGTGCGCCGCGATTCGTAAAATCTTACGAGTTTATACATCAAGGTACTTATTTTAGCATCTACGTGAAGTACATACGTACCATACACGTTTAGTTACTATTATTTGTATGT